ATATTTTATATCATGGGGTCTTTTATTAATTTTGAGCCAAAAGTTGAAATAAAATGCATGACAAATAATTTGTCACGTTCTATTTTTTTTTTATAATCAAATTTAGATCAATGAAAGGCAGTTGTTTTATCTCTAAAATTTATAAAATTCTATATGAAGTATGCCGATGAGATATTCCTAAAACAGTATCGGAATGAGGTCTGAATAACATCAAAAGATTTTTAAAATGTAAAATGAACCGAATGAATTGGTAAATGCTATCCGGGATCATGACAAATCACTCGGTTAATAATTTGGAGCATGACCCTTGAACTTGATATATAATTTCATATTAAATTCTTTAGGCCTATTGATTTACAGTATCACGTCATCACAACATTCTGTCATTACACTATTATGATATAACGTCATCTTGACATCACATCATCGTGTCATCACACCATCCTATCATCACACCATCCTGTCATCACACTATCCTATCATCACATCATACTGTCATAACACCGTCATGTCATTACACCATCCTGTTATCACACCATCCTGTCATCACACTATCCTGTCTTCACACCACTCCTAACATTACACGATCCTATCATCACACTATCCTGTCATCACATCATACTGTCATAACACCATAATGTCATCACATCATCCTGTCATTACACCATCCTGTCATCGCACCATCATGTCATTACACTATCTTATCATCATACCATCGTGTCATCACACTATCCTATCATCACACCCACCTGTTATCACACCATCCTATCATCACACTATCCTATCATCACGCCATCCTGTTATCACACCATCCTGTTATCACGCCATCCTGTCATCACACCACTCCTATCATTACACGATCCTGTCATCACACCATTGTGGCAACGCACTCTGAAAAAATTTTTTCAAAGTGCGTAAAAATTGGGACAAAATCAACGCACTTTGAAAAAATTTTTCAAAGTGCGTTAAATTTGGGACACACTCAACGCACTTTGAAAAATTTTTTCAAAGTGCGTTTAGAGTACAATTTGACACTCCTATCATTACACCATCATGTCATCAGACCACTCCTATCATTACACCATCGTGTCATCACACCACTCATATCATTACACCATCCTGTCATGACACCATCCTATCATCACATCATCCTGTCATCACACCATCATGTCATAACACCATCATGTCATAACACCATCCTGTCATCACACCATCATGTCATTACACCATCTTATCATAACACCATCCTGTTATCACACCTTTATATTATAACACCATCCTATCATCACGCCATCCTGTTATCACACTATCCTGTTGTCATGCCATCCTGTCATCACACCACTCCTAACATTACACGATCCTGTCATCACACCATCCTGTCATCACACTCTCACGTCTTCACATCATCCTGTCATCACACCATCCATCCTATCATCACACGATCCTGTCAACACACCATCCTGTCATAACACAATCATATCATCACGCCATCCTGTCATCACACCATCATGTCATTAAACCATTTTATCATCACACTATCCTGTCATCACACCTTTATGTCATCACACTATTATGTCATCACACCTTTATGTTATAACACCATCGTGTCATCACGCAATCCTGTTATCACACTATCCTGTTATCATGCTATCCTGTCATCAGAACACTCCTAACATTACACGATCCTGTCATCATATCATCCTGTCTTCACATCATCCTGTCATCACACCATCCTGTCATACCATCCTGTCATCACACCATCCTGTCATCACACCATCCTGTCATCACACCATCCTGTCATAACACAATCATATCATCACACTATCATATGATCATACGATTCCGTCATCACACCATCGTGTCATAACACCATCATGTCATCACACCACTCCTATCATTATACCATCTTATCATCACACCATCCTGTCATCATATCATCCTGTCATAACAACATCCTGTCATCACACCATCATGCCAATACACCATCTTATCATGACACGATCCTGTTATCACACCTTTATGTCAACACACCATTATGTCATCACACCATCATGTCATCACACCTTTATGTTATCACACCATCGTGCCATCATACCATCCTATCAACACACCATCCTGTTATCACAACATCCTGTTAATACGTCATCCTGTCACCACACCATCCTGTCATCACACTATCCAGTCTTCACATCATCCTGTCATCACACCATCCTGTCATCACACCATCCTGTCATAACACAATCCTATCATCACATTATCGTGTCATCATATCATCATGTCATCATACCATCCTGTGATCACACCTTTATGTCATCACACCATCCTGTCATAACACCATCCCGTTATCACACCACTCCTATCATTACACCATCGTGTCATCACACCATCCTGTCGTATACCATCATGTCATCCAACATCATATCATCACACCATCATGTCATCCCACATCATGTCATCACACCATCCGTCATAACACCATCTTATCATCACACAATCATGTCATCACACCATCATGTCATTACACCACTCCTATCATTACACCACTCCTACCATTACACCATCACATCTTGTCATCACACCATCCTGTCATAACACCATCCTGTCATCACACCATCAGGTCATTACACCATCTTATCCTGTCATCACACCTTTATGTCATCACACTATTATGTCATCACACCATCATGTCATAACACCATCCTGTCGTAACACCATCATGTCATCACACCACTCATATCATTACACCATCCTCTCATTACACCACTCCTATCATTACCCAATCGTGTCATTACAACATCGTGTCATCACACCATCATGTCATAACACCATCCTGTCATTACACCATTTTATCATCACACCATCCTGTCATCACATCTTCTAATGCAATTATTTTGTAAAACACGCTTTCATTGGCTATTGCACTGATGTTTGAAGCAGTGAAACGAGCATTAACGAGGCAGAAAGCTTTTCATTGTGACGTCATAATAGAGCGACGCAAAAACACAATGCCCCGTGACGTATTTTATGTAACAAAACTCAACAAAATAAGACGTAAACAACAAACAAAATGCATAGATTGCATTAGAATGGGAATAACTGATCTTCTAATTTGGTAATTGCGACCGTTAATGCTGATTTAATGGTCGCAAACATCCGTTTTACCGGCTCCGCTTACGCGTCGCCGTTAAAACTCAGTTTGCGACCGTTAAATCAGCATTAACGGTCGCAAATACCAAATTAAAAGATAGTTATTCCCTAATTTATGACATCACACCATCCAGTCATTACACCATCTTATCATCACACCATCCTGTCATCACATCTTTATGTCATCACACCATCCTGCCATTACACCATCTTATCATCATACCATCCTGTCATCACACCATCCTGTCATCACACCATCCTGTCATTACACCATCTTATCATCATACCATCCTGTCATCACACCATCCTGTCATTACACCATCTTATCATCATACCATCCTGTCATCACACCATCCTGTCAGTATAACGTCATCTTGACATCACATCATCCTGTCATCACACCATCCTATCATCACACCATCCTGTCATCACACTATCCTATCATCACATCATACTGTCATAACACCATCATGTCATTACACCATCCTGTTATCACACCATCCTGTCATCACACTATCCTGTCTTCACACCACTCCTAACATTACACGATCCTATCATCACACTATCCTGTCATCACATCATACTGTCATAACACCATCATGTCATCACACCATCCTGTCATCGCACCATCATGTCATTACCCCATCTTATCATCACACCATCGTGTCATCACACTATCCTATCATCACACCCACCTGTTATCACACCATCCTATCATCACGCCATCCTGTTATCACACCATCCTGTTATCACGCCATCCTGTCATCACACCACTCCTATCATTACACGATCCTGTCATCACACCATTGTGGCAACGCACTCTGAAAATTTTTTTTCAAAGTGCGTAAAAATTGGGACAAAATCAACGCACTTTGAAAAAAATTTTCAAAGTGCGTTAAATTTGGGACACACTCAACGCACTTTGAAAAATTTTTTCAAAGTGCGTTTAGAGTACAATTTGATACTCCTATCATTACACCATCATGTCATCAGACCACTCCTATCATTACACCATCGTGTCATCACACCACTCATATCATTACACCATCCTGTCATCACACCATCGTGTCATAACACTATCCTGTCATCACATCATCCTGTCATCACACCATCCTGTCATCACACCATCATGTCATAACACCATCTTATCATAACACCATCCTGTTATCACACCTTTATATTATAACACCATCCTATCATCATGCCATCCTGTTATCACACTATCCTGTTGTCATGCCATCCTGTCATCACACCACTCCTAACATTACACGATCCTGTCATCACACCATCCTGTCATCACACTCTCACGTCTTCACATCATCCTGTCATCACACCATCCATCCTATCATCACACGATCCTGTCAACACACCATCCTGTCATAACACAATCATATCATCACGCCATCCTGTCATCACACCATCATGTCATTAAACCATTTTATCATCACACTATCCTGTCATCACACCTTTATGTCATCACACTATTATGTCATCACACCTTTATGTTATAACACCATCGTGTCATCACGCAATCCTGTTATCACACTATCCTGTTATCATGCTATCTTGTCATCACAACACTCCTAACATTACACGATCCTGTCATCATATCATCCTGTCTTCACATCATCCTGTCATCACACCATCCTGTCATACCATCCTGTCATCACACCATCCTGTCATAACACAATCATATCATCACACTATCATATGATCATACGATTCCGTCATCACACCATCGTGTCATAACACCATCATGTCATCACACCACTCCTATCATTACACCATCTTATCATCACACCATCCTGTCATCATATCATCCTGTCATAACACCATCCTGTCATCACACCATCATGCCAATACACCATCTTATCATGACACGATCCTGTCATCACACCTTTATGTCAACACACCATTATGTCATCACACCATCATGTCATCACACCTTTATGTTATCACACCATCGTGCCATCATACCATCCTATCAACACACCATCCTGTTATCACAACATCCTGTTAACACGTCATCCTGTCACCACACCATCCTGTCATCACACTATCCAGTCTTCACATCATCCTGTCATCACACCATCCTATCATCACACCATCCTGTCATAACACAATCATATCATCACATTATCGAGTCATCATATCATCATGTCATCATACCATCCTGTGATCACACCTTTATGTCATCACACCATCCTGTCATAACACCATCCTGTTATCACACCACTCCTATCATTACTCCATCATGTCATCACACCATCCTGTCATATACCATCATATCATCCAACATCATGTCATCACACCATCATGTCATCCCACATCATGTCATCACACCATCCGTCATAACACCATCTTATCATCACACCATCATGTCATCACACCATCATGTCATTACACCACTCCTATCATTACACCACTCCTACCATTACACCATCACATCTTGTCATCACACCATCCTGTCATAACACCATCCTGTCATCACACCATCATGTCATTACACCATCTTATCCTGTCATCACACCTTTATGTCATCACACTATTATGTCATCACACCATCAACTCATAACACCATCCTGTTATCACACCATCATGTCATCACACCACTCATATCATTACACCATCCTCTCATTACACCACTCCTATCATTACCCAATCGTGTCATCACAACATTGTGTCATCACACCATCATGTCATAACACCATCCTGTCATTACACCATCTTATCATCACACCATCCTGTCATCACATCTTCTAATGCAATTATTTTGTAAAACACGCTTTCATTGGCTATTGCACTGATGTTTGAAGCAGTGAAACGAGCATTAACGAGGCAGAGAGCTTTTCATTGTGACGTCATAATAGAGCGACGCAAAAACACAATGCCCCGTGACGTATTTTATGTAACAAAACTCAACAAAATAAGACGTAAACAACAAACAAAATGCATATAGATTGCATTACAATGGGAATAACTGATCTTCTAATTTGGTAATTGCGACCGTTAATGCTGATTTAATGGTCGCAAACATCCGTTTTACCGGCTCCGCTTGAGTTTTACCGGCGACGCGTAAGCGGAGCCGGTAAAACGGATGTTTGCGACCGTTAAATCAGCATTAACGGTCGCAAATACCAAATTAGAAGATAGTTATTCCCTAATTTATGACATCACACCATCCGGTCATTACACCATCTTATCATCACACCATCCTGTCATCACATCTTTATGTCATCACACCATCCTGTCATTACACCATCTTATCATCACACCATCCTGTCATTACACTATCTTATCATCACACCATCTTGTCATCACATCTTTATGTCATCACACCATCCTGTCATTACACCATCTTATCATCATACCATCCTGTCATTACACCATCATGTCATTACACCATCTTATCATCACACCATCCTGTCATCACACCATCATGTCATTACACCATCTTATCATCATACCATCCTGTCATCACACCTTTATGTCATCACACCATCCTGTCATTACACCATCTTATCATCATACCATCCTGTCATTACACTATTTTATCATCACACCATCCTTTTATCACACCATCCTGTCATTACACCATCTTATCATCATACCATCATGTCATCACACCTTTATGTCATCACACCTTTATGTCATCACACCATCCTGTCATTACACCTTTATGTCATTACACCATCTTATCATCATACCATCCTGTCATCACACCATCCTGTCATTACACCATCTTATCATCATACCATCCTGTCATCACACCATCCTGTCATTACACCATCTTATCATCATACCATCCTGTCATCACACCTTTATGTCATCACACCATCCTGTCATTACACCATCTTATCATCATACCATCCTGTCATTACACTATTTTATCATCACACCATCCTTTTATCACACCATCCTGTCATTACACCATCTTATCATCATACCATCATGTCATCACACCTTTATGTCATCACACCTTTATGTCATCACACCATCCTGTCATTACACCTTTATGTCATTACACCATCTTATCATCATACCATCCTGTCATCACACCATCCTGTCATTACACCATCCTATCATCATACCATCCTGTCATCACACCATCCTGTCATTACACCATCTTATCATCATACCATCCTGTCATTACACTATCTTATCATCACACCATCCTGTTATCACACCATCCTGTCATTACACCATCTTATCATCATACCATCCTGTCATCACACCATCCTGTCATTACACCATCTTATCATCATACCATCCTGTCATTACACTATCTTATCATCACACCATCCTGTTATCACACCATCCTGTCATTACACCATCTTATCATCATACCATCCTGTCATCACACCATCATGTCATCACACCTTTATGTCATCACACCATCCTGTCATTACACCATCTTATCATCATACCATCCTGTCATTACACCATCCTTTCATCATACCATCCTGTCATCACACTATCCAGTCATCATACCATCCTGTCATCACACTATCCAGTCATCACATTCATCCTGTCATCACACCATCTTATCATCACATCATCCTGTCATCACATCTTTATGTCATCACACCTTTATGTCATCACACCATCCTGTCTCACATATGGTGGCGTATTGATAATATCCACATAACTTTCTGTTAACATTTGTATCATGCCAAGTCAAGATAACTATCGCGTCAGGTCATGATAACTTTCTGGTTTGTCGACAAACATCGAATTTATATCATGTCCAGTCAAGATAAGCTATCACATTTGTACTGTTAACCATCTTGACATGATGAGATAACTTATCTTGCATCAGGAATAAAATAGCTGTCCTATCGCAAAAATACGATTGTTTATCTTGACTGGACAAGATATAAAGTCGGCGCTTGTTGATGCCACCATAATCACACCATCCTACAATCACACCACATTTCATCACATCATTGTTATATAGCTTGTCTTCATATTTTATCTCTAATAGAGATAACACTCACTGGGAAAATTGACTTTTAAAGTTATCAAATAAAAAACATTTCTGCCTAATTTTGACCGAAAAAATGTGCTGAAAATTTGTGCATTTTAATAATAGATTAATTTATATATTTCTTTTGAAAATCATCACCGTAGGTGGTTTTTTTCATCTTTTTGAAGAAAGGGTAATGCATTGTATGAAAAGATTTCTACAAATTTGTTAATTTTCACTGAATAACGCTGATATATCAATATACTCCGTACACTCACTCCAACAGTTTAATTGTGCTCTTGAAGTATAACATGAAAAACGTATAAACTATTTGATCAGAGTGGAAGTAAAATAATCCTTATATGGGATTGGCTGCATCCGTTTAAAACATCACTCAAGCACTAGACAGTAATCCAAAATCACTACATTCTACATTATATTTTACACATGGTTGCAATCAGAATTTTAAAATGAACTTCCGGATGATAACGAACTTAATTGGTTGGGAGAAAGAAAGGCCAGGAGGGTTACAAGTGTACTGAGAACCAGATATTAAATAACATTTGTCTGAAAAGAATATAAAGTTACCACGCATATGAAAAGCTTTCATTAATGATGATAAAATTCCTAAGTTACCAATGATATGGAACTTATTTTGTTTTGTCAGTAGGTTAAAAGAAATACTTGTAATACGGAATCTGAATTTGAGAGTTTGGGTGAATATTTGCTGATTTTAGAGTGATTTTTGTATGGGCTCCTAGCTTCGGACTGTGGACAGAAAATTGAAATCTAACACTTCCTGGTTCTACCCGTGCGTGTGCACCTGAGCAAGCAGGTAGGTATACGTGCACTCAATTTATGATTTACTTCAATTATTATATAAATTTTGTTATATTGTATATACAACATGTACACAGTGTACATACAACATGGGGGTGAGACAATATTAAAGAGTCAGCGTCTCTTGTGATAGGAGTTATACATAACTGGTCCTGGTAAGTTCTAAGCGTATTTTTTTTTATTCTTCAGTTCAATGAGTAACAGACTTTTGTACCCTACAGACGATATGATTGGAGATTGTTAAGTAATATTTCATAATTTGATATATAAGTATATGTTGTACTATATTGCAGACATTTGAAACCTACTCAGTATTCAAAAATTGATATATCTACCAGGTATATATGTAAAGAAAATTCCACGTTTTTTAAAGCAATTATTTTTACCCGCGAACCGAAAATTACAACAGGTTTTGTATTGTGACCTTGAATCCATGTATTCATTTTAGAACTGGCAATTAAATGTTTAAACTAGTGAATAAGATTGAAGCACTACTCCTGAAGCTCTGACCCTTTTATACAATTTCATTCTTCCATGGAAAGCCAATTCAATAATTCCTAAATACTAGTAATATCAACAGTATAATTATACACTTCAAGAAATTTATGAGGAAAACATTGGATTTAAGGGGGTATCACCCCAAATTGTCAAATTTAAGATAGATTTTTTTTTCTTACTGATTTATCGGGTAAAAGTGTTTGATAAAAACTTAATTCATTCCTTGCAATTCTTGTCCTTCTGGGGGCTTGATTCATATTATCTGAAAATAATTAATCATGGCAAAGGAAATAGTAGAAGGCTTCAATTTCCCCAGAGAAATCTCTAGAATTCAGCAGTTTCCGGGGTCTTGTGACATTTTATTTGATATCTAATAATTTTTATAAATTATCATCAAAGGTCTCTGTAAGGAAATATGTAGTAAATTTTTATAGGGAGAATTCACTGCCGTGATTATAAATAAAAGAGAAGTACACGGTATCAATTTCGCTATAGCGCACTGTTTGCAAAGCTTGAATTTAAACCAAAAAAAATAGAATTGAAATTTAAGACTTAAGTATTTACGGTTATATGGTGGCGTATTTTTGACATTTATGTTAACCTGTCAAAAGTTTCTGTCGACTTGTCAGTAAAAATCATTTTGACAAAAACTCGGTATCTTGTATCAACTCGTTATTATATATGCCACAAACTGATATCTACTCGTGTCATTACATCTGACAAGTTGTTACATGTAAATAAATTAAAATTATCTGACAAGTCGACATGATACTTTTTTTGACAAGTAGACATAATTTTCTCACAAGTATCTGAAAAGGTTACTTATTTATCTGATAAGTCGAAATAACATTACCCATATTAATACAAGTCAACATTATTATTTTATAAGTCGACTTGTCAGATATTATTTTGATTTTGTCAGATACTTAATTATCACGTCGACTGTTGTCGATAAAAAAAAATTGTCAACTAGATAACACAACCATAGTGTGGACTGTGGCAACGCACTTTGAAAAAATTACGCACTTTGAAAAAATTTTTCAAAGTGCGTAATTTTTTTCAAAGTGCGTTAAATTTTGGACACACTCAACGCACTTTGAAAAAATTTTTCAAAGTGCGTTAAGAATGCACATAAACATTTTTTACCATGGAGGCATTTAACGCACTTTGAAAAAAAAGATATGTATGAAAATAAAAATTCTAGACTTAGATTTTAGTAATAGAGGAAATCAAATTGTAATAATTATATCATTTGAAAAACTTTTTAAAATTTACATGAACTCATTTAACCTCATTGAGAACAAGGAGAAGACGAGTAGAAGGTCTCTCATCCCAACTTTTTTTTCTTAAACATTGTGCATAGCCGTCGGTAGCAAATTGAATGTTGACCCCACAGGAAAGCCCCAATTTTTAATGCATACATGTACATATAATGTATATATTTTCAAAATATTTATATGCCTACATGTAACCCCCTTTTCCAGAACTGATGCCTATGCTACACCCAAATACATGTGTTACCATAACTGGTATGACGTTGAAAACTTTCAATAAATTTAATTTTAGATAAAATGCATTCAAACTTGAAAAAAAAATAAGTACAGTAAAGCATTTAAGCGAGAAAGAATTTTCAAAGTATAGAAAAATCGCTCACTTTCACATCCTGAAGTGACATCTTCACAGAAGAATTATCAAACAGGTTCAATTATTTATCATACCTAAGATTTGCAAAAATGTTGACAAATCCATACACATTTTTTTCAAAGTGCGTTAATATGGTCCATATTAACGCACTTTGAAAAGAAATTTTATTTTTTCAAAGTGCGTTGACTTGGTCCCAAAATTTAACGCACTTTGAAAATTTTTTTCAAAGTGCGTAATTTTTCAAAGTGCGTTGTAACAGTGGACACTATTTCTTGATTATTTTTTTGTAACGTAAATAACTGGCAAGTCAGTGAGAGGATCTGACAAGCAGTCGATACAGTAATGTTTTAAAAATTATAATTTGACAAGTGTAGGCAGAACTATGCCACCATATTGTTTGTCAAAACGTCTTATGATCAAATCAAGTGGATTAATGTGTATTAGTCATTACAAAACTTTGAAGATATTTGTTTGCTTTTTTTTACTTTCATTATATATTATATTGAATAAAGAGAGAAAAAATATGAAAACACATCCAATATTTGTTATTATACTGTTGATCATAAACACAATCAAACTTTTAACCTTGTTAAATCCAGTTTTATTAAAACTGCATGAAAATAAAAAAAAATATACGAGTATATATCAAGATTAACTGTTATGTTCATTCATCAATGTGGGGTTGGGCAGAGTTTTTTTTTTTTTTGGTTAGTTGGTTTTTTTTTTTTGACAACTTACAGCCAAAAAATTCTTAAAACTCGACAATCCCTTTTTTCGGGGGTGGGGTGGGTGGGTTAGGGGGTTAGCCTTTTTTCCACAAACAAATTTTAATAAAACGTGTGCATTTACATAAATCGATTTGAATGCTGCTACACAAAAGTGGTTCAGTCGCCCATTTTATGAACATTTTAAAGGCTTCGTTTAGAAGAAAATTGAGGGTCCCTTCTTACCATTACTACTTGCCTGAATATTACCTGTTTTTCTGCAATGTTAAAATTGTTCTTTTCCGAATTAAAACACTGTTCTAAAATTTAGAACTAGTATCCCCATAATCTTATATTATTCTAATGTAATTGAATAGAATAAATGCTTACTGTTATCATTCAACTTCTAGTAATTTGGAATTCTTAAAAGACTTGTTTTGATTGAATGACATGTAGTATCCAAAACACACACACACAAAATAATTAAGATATATTTGATTCCTTTTTTCTCTCCAAGCAATTACGTTATGAATCAATGAAATGGACCGCCCTGGTTTTGTCCAGAAAACGCCTTTGAAATCAATAGGTAAGAAAGAGTGACTTTTATTTTTTGCTGATTTTTCTTATGTAAAATTGAATCGTTGGATGTGAATGGTTTCCTTGACAAGTGAGGTAATTCTTGCATCGAAAACGGTATTCGTAATACTCAAACTGTAAGATGAAGATAAAAGGTCAAAAATATTTATACACCTAATTTACATAAGTAAGATATTTTTGACAGGTGCTCAAGATATCCTGAAACTAGAATTTGACAAATGTGGACATCTCAGAAAAGAGGGAGGGTTAGAGAGGACCCTGCTCAGCAAGTTTGTTAAGTGTAAGTGTTAATGTTCAACTCATTTCGACTGTTCTTTTATACTCTCGTTAATCATAGGCTGAAATCATTTATAGATCAAAGTTAAACATTAATATTTTAGATTTACATCCGTTCACCGATTTTTTTTTTTAAAAGATTGAAGGAAAATTTTCTTTGTGGTAAGGATATGAAATCTCATCGAAATAATCCATATCTGTAGTTATATAGTAGCTATTAAAAAGAACCTTAAAACATTTTTGCATATACATACTTAGATCAAAATTCGATGTTTTATTACAGGGAGACAATTCTTTGTCGTCTTAAGAAATGGGTGTTGTTATGTTTTCGATAATGACCAATCTACACAATCAAAAACGGCGTTCTCATTTGAGAACTATTGTCGGTAGGTATTATAACGTTACCCATTTAGTAAACTGATATCGTGTACAAAGTGTAGAATATTAATAATCATTGCAAAGAATTCCAGTCCTATTAAATATTAGTCTTTTTGCAAAAAATTAAATATGAACATCTTTAATCCGAGTAATGTTTGAGATGTTTCCGAAGAATAGAAGTTCAGCAAAAATTATACTAAACTTTAAATTAAAAACAAAACAAAATTGTGAAAAAACTCTCGGCAATTCATTATAATAATCTATTTTTAGATTAGAATGCTTTACCCGAGCAGATATGGAGAATTGTTTTAAGGTTATCCCTAGGTCCGGTCATGAGGAATTCCTGAAGGAGCACTGCTTTTCTGCCTCTGACAACCAAACGCGACAGGCCAGTCAAACTTCAGTCATTTTTTAATCTATTCTTAATATATCATTATGTATACACATTACCATAATCAACATTTATTTACTTATTCTGCCAGATTGAATAGCGTATAATCAAAATATTTATTTATTAATGTTTCCATACCTACAAGTTTAAGACCAAATGCTGCTTTTTTGTCCCCCGCTTTCGCATTCGCCTCTCCGACTGTCCTCACAAAACTTTAACCTTGCCCATAACTTTTAATTTAGTGGAGCTATGACTTTCATATTTCACATGTGTGTTCCTTGTGACAAGACCTTTCTTGGGTACCACCAAATTTGACCTTTTGCCCTTGGAGTTTGACTTTCACACAAAAATTCCAAACTTTTACTTTGGCCATAGCTTTTGAATGGCAGGTACTAGGACTTTCATATTTCACATATATATTCTTTGTGACAACACCTTTCATTGGATACCAACAATTTTAATCTTTTGACCTTGGAGATTTATGTACTTATGTAAAAACTTTAACCTTGACCATAACTTTTGAACGGTAAGGGCTAGGGCTTTTGTACTTCACATGTGTAATTCTTGTGAGAAGACCCTTCATTGGACACCAAGAACTTTTACCCTTTGACCTTGATCTTGGAGTTTGAACTATTTTTTAAAAACTTTAACCTTGGTCACAACTTTTAAACGGTAGATACTAGGACTTTCATATTTCACATATGTATTCTTTGTGGCAAGACCTTTCATTGGATACCAACAATTTTGACCTCTTGACCTTGGAGATTTACTTACTTATGAAAAACTTAAACCTTTACATAACATTTGAACGGTAAGGGTTAGGGTTTTCATCCTTCACATATGTATTACTTGTGACAAGACCTTTCTTAAGAAACCAACAACTCAGACCCTTTCACCTTGGAGTTTGACCTACTTTTCAAATATTTATCCTCGACTATAGCTTTTGAACAGGTGGTTCTGGAGATATTGTAGTTCACAATTGTATTTGTTGTGAGAAAAACCCTACTTTGGGTAATAATATATTTAATTTGCATTTAAGAAAATTTTAATCTTGGTTACATGTATATTGCCGTTCGGGGTCATCAGTGTTTCATAAACACATCTTATTTCTTATATTGAGAAGAGATAGGGCTTTCATATATGACATGTGCATTACCTGTGACAAGATGATTCTGAGCATGTTATGATTTCTTACCCCTTGACCTTGACCTTCACGATTATTTAAAAAAAATGAACTTCAATGATGATTTCTAAATAAATGACATATGATAGGGTGTTCATATTAGACACAATACCGGTATGTCATAAAAATAACATCTCACCCACAAAGAACCGAAAGCGGGGGACCACAATTCATATGATTACACACACACACACACAGCAGAGCTACAGTCTCGTGAGAGATTTCTGGTTCATGTTTGCATTTCAGATTGATATCGTTCCTCTGTCGTTAAGATTGAAAAAAAAAGTTTCATGTAGTAACATGTCTACAAACGTTTCATTCTTTTAATTTTTTATACCAACCTCCACTTATCCAAGACTTCCAGAATCGAAACAATACGTGATGGCAAACTTACATCTTACAAATATTTCTCATTTTTTGATCTGGATCGTTCTCAAATAAATTATACTCGTCTCTTTAATGTTGGGTACTCCCTTTTTTGCAGGGGTGGCTTATCGCTATATACAAGGCTTTACATGTTGCAAACAACTTGACATTGCCAACTGAAATGTAAGTGACTGTGATAGAATTAAAAAGAACCCAGAAATGTTGTGTTCACAATATGCACGTGTGTTTTTAACAATTCATTGAAAGCTATTTTACTTCTAGAACGAAAGATGGTTGGAAGGTGGATATTTTCGGGAAAGGGACTGATCCTAATCGTTACAGCTACATAGATGAGATGCCAGAAGACTTCCTGAAAGACCTCCCTAAGGACTCACCGAAAACCGCCAAAAAACGCTACTCTAAGTTGCCACGTAAAGTTTATTTGATATTTGTCTTTATAATTCTAAAATACTCAGTACCATATACATACATTATATACCGGTAATACTCTTAAGAGCTTTTTACTAGACTTACATGAAACGACCATCTTTTCAGCAATACCATCAATAAACAGAACCAAAAGTTTGCCAGCTCGTCCCATGACACCAAAGAGTAGTTCTAACGACTCGGTGAGCAATGATTCTGACGACTCGCCATCTGATAACTATGACGACATTCTAATGGAGCCACCAACCACGAAGCCCGAGCCACCGACCGCTAAACCGGGTAAACTAGCTCGGTCTGTGTCTGAGTCATATAAAGCTAGACCCCAACCAGCCGTTCCCGTAAATGAAAGAGACGAAATATCGCGCCCGGATTCGTATCTCAGTCCTAAGGCTGAGGTAAATATCCTTTCATTAATAATTCCGTGATTGAATTATATTATTTTTTATGGGAAATCTCAATTTTTCAGGTGGCTGACTTGCCTCTCTTTGAAGGGAATTCTCCAGAGGCTAAAAGGTAAGAGAGAGAGAGAGAAGGAGGAGGAGGAGAGAGATTTGAAATCAATATTTAGATAATCTTTAAATTTGTTATAGTGCAATAAAAGATGAAGCTGTTGGAACATTTCTCATTCGGAAGTCTAATACGGGTGGCGATAAAGTCATGTTTGTAAGTATGTAACAAGTCTAATTTAAGTTATGTAATTGACAGACAACCAACTGGACTTAAAAGTGGCACATGCGATTAAATTTCTGTGCACAAAGATACCTGGTATTTGATTATGTTTTAATACGGCGTACACAAATTAAGTCCGAAAAGAGTTTTGTTCATAGTCCTTTTTGCTCTTCGATCAGTAAAGCTGGAATCGATTCGTAGAAGGAATTCGTCCGCCATATTCCTCTATTCAATCGTTATATCTGAGGATCTCTATATAAGGTGTTCACTTAGTCATTGTTCAGTGCCTGTGTAGACGGACTTTCATGTATGCTATATCACTAATGTACACACTGGGTAGCAACAAAAGTAACAGTTAGCGCTTATTCCAGGAGAGTAAGAAACCAAGAAACTTATAACAGTTGCACTGGTCAGTGCAGTAGCATACAAACAAAAACAGATACACGTAAATTGCAATATAAATAGGGTAATTAAGGAATGGATTTTTAAAATAGTTATAAAGTAATTTATTTATTTTATTCAATACCTATTTTTGCCTGTAGGTATTGGTTGTCTCAGGTCCTGCTGGTGAATTACAATACAGGATATACAAAAAGGTATGCGGCACTTCATCGTCGTTTGCGACCAAAATGTACGATCTTCTCCCATTCTGTAGGAGAGAGCTATATGCGGACTCCGGACCGTGGCTTGAGACGATGGGGTCACTTTAAATCACAATCATTTTCATGTTGTAATTAATATGCATATTATTTGTTTCTGTTCATGTGCGTTTTATTGGTTGGGGTGGGGATACTGTTGCATGCTTGTTTCTAGCAAATCGCAAATTTTGACATTTTCTGATAAAGATGACAATCTACAGCTTTAAAATTACCAAAATATATTAATTTGACCAAATGCGGAAAAGAAATACGCACGCTAACTCTCGATTCCCGCCTACATTCTGGAACCATTTAATTTAATAGAAATAGCAATTTGGCCATAAAATCTTTGTTTAATACAAAGAACAGTTCAATGCTAATTGATGTATTGTCTTAATACCAGGGCTAAACAGTAAATTATCCATAATTCCAGCTCTTGAAAAAAGGGGGGTAGACGATATTTTCCATTGAAATCGGAGTTTCAAGCATCACCATATTTTGAAATAGTCTTGGATATGATTAAATGTTCTTTATATCTTTTCTTATGTCTTTGGCAAATAAATAAAACATAAATATATTAATAAAATATAATGTTTCAGTTGTAAATCGCTTTGAAATTGGTGAAAAATAAGCAGTTTTATCGTTTTTTGTCAATAAACATAATGCCCCCCCTCCCCCCAGTGTCACACAAAAAGCTTTGGTATGAATTTGTGAAATAACATTCCATATTACCTGTAAAAAGGAATTTTTGTGACACTGGGGGGAAAGATGTTTTAAAAATATTTTCCGTTTTCCGTTGATTTCTATAGTGAAAAACACAGTATTTTCCAAAATTTTAAAGTTATCTCTCTTTGTTTTTCCAAATAAGTAATATTTTATGAAAATCCATATAATTTTCTATAAAATACATTAAAAATTCATCTAATATGTTAACTTTTGAAAATTGACTTAGAGGTAGGCGGGAGAACAATACTATCATTCGCAGTTCTTTAGAACCAATTTGATTTTTTTCTTTATATAAAGTTTATAGAAATAGTATTTCAGTGTATGGAGTAGACATACTTCGCGTACTTCCAGTTCCAGTACACGACCTCTGTGCCACAGTGGTCGTGTACTGGAACTGGAAGTACCATTTTAAACTTAAAGCTGATACAGTCGATATTTTTATGCCCCCGTAAACGAAGTATTTATGCCCCCGTAAATGAAGTTTCGGGGTAAATAGTTTTTGTCGCGCCCGTCCGTCTGTCTGTCAGTCTGTCTCTCTGTTTGTCTGTTTGTCCGCAAAAACTTTAACCTTGCCCATTACTTTTGATTTAGTGGAGCTATGACTTTCATATTCACATGTGTATTCCTTGTGACAAGACCTTTCTTTGGGTACCACCAAATTTGTCCTTTTGACCTTGACCTTGGAGTTTGACCCACTTTTACACAAAAATTCCAAACTTTTACTTTGGCCATATCTTTTGAACAGTAGACACTAGGACTTTTATACTTCATACATGTATTCCTTGTGAAGAAAAGACCATTTAATGGATACCAACAATTTTGACATTATGATCTTGACCTTGGAGATTTCCGTACTCAAGAAAAAACTTAAACCTTGGCCATAACTTTTGAACGGTAAAGGCTAGTAATTTCATACTTCATATATGTAACCCTTGTGAGAAGTCCCTTCATTGGATGCCAAGAACTTTGACCCTTTGACCTTGACATTTGACCTTCTTTAAAAAGCAAACCTTGACCACTACTTTTAAAGGGTTAGGGCTAGTGCTTTCATACTTTACATATTTAATCCTTGTGACAAGACCTTTCATTTGATAGCAAATTTGACCTTGACCTTGGAGTTTGACCTACTTTTAAATTTTTTTAAGCTTGGCTATAAGTTCTAAACGAGGGCTAAGGCTTCCATAATTTACGTATGTATTTTTTGTGGCAAGACCTTGCATTGGATTACCTTAACCTTGAAGATTTCCGTACTTATGAAAAAACTTTAACCTTGGCCTACTTTCATATTTGAGAATTGTATTTCCAGTGAGAATACCCTACTTTTTGTACCAATATGATTATTTAATATATTATATTCAATATATTTAAAAATTTGCACTTGAGAAAAGTTTAATCTTTGCCATATTGCCATACGGGGGCATCAGTGTTTCACAAAAACATCTTGTTTCTTTTAATTACAAAAAAACAATTTGTCATTCTAGGAAGAAGACAAAATTTATCTTGAAGAGAAAACCTACTTTGAGCGACTTTCAGAACTTGTGGATCATTATAGAAAAAATGATCTTCCATGTCAACGCAAGCTGACAAAACATTATGGACACATGGAATTATGAAGCAAAGCAAGATTACACAGGGGCTTGAAATACTTATTTAGAGCTAATGCTTTAGTTGAGTATTTTTAATCCAAAAATACATGCAACAGTAAACTTTTTATATTTAGCGGCAATCTTGAAATTGTCTGTATCCGCTGGACAACCGAATAACACAGTAACACCGGTATGATTGGCGTATGAATATCCCTCTTAAGTTTTTCGGTTCTTCACTCTTCTGAGCAATGTTGAATTTCAATTTATTTTCTTGATTCATTGAAGAATGTTCCTGTCTTTGGGGTTTTGTTTGGAAACACTACTCAATCGTCGCGGATTTGACTGTTTCAACTCTCTGATTTAGAAGACTTTTTTACCATTATCTCCATATCTTCCATTATGTGTATTATTTATAAATTACAAAATTTATATTACTTCAGTAAAACTCAGTTATAACGAAGTCACAGGGACCAGAGAAATTACTTCGCTATATCCGTAATTCCTTATATCCGTGTAAGGAATTCATTAAATTCATATAGCTAGGGATCTAAAATAACTTCGCTATATTCGTGTTCGTAATAAACGAGTTTTACTGTAATGCTTATGAACTGTACATAACTTTATGCATTCTGGAATTATTTTTTGACTTCTTTTGTTTATTGTTGATTTTACTATTTTAAAAAGTATTGCTTATATGACCTGTATTTTATTACTCATATTGTTATTAAAAAACATTGAGACTTATATCTTATTATTTTAGATAGTGAGATAAAAAATGTCAGAATTGTATTTTGTACTTTTCTGTGCAGTCTCTTGAAATGAATTTAGAGGCTAAAAACATTAATACTATACAGCTATAAATCATTATGTCGTACTACAATCTCGCAGTCATGATCACGTTTAAAGGTTGTGGATATTTAAGATATCACACCATCTAGTTTGCTAGGTATGCCAGGGCATCAACAATGGTTGGGTTGGAAACGTGGGATAATTTGCATAACGGGCAAAGCCTGGTATGAATAAATTATCTTACGTTTCCAACTATATCGTTGATCATATGTCCCTGGCATACCCAACAAACTAGGCAATGATTCCTTATAATTTCATTTAAGGAATAACTGTCTTATTTTTCAATTTCATGATGTGATCAATCGATTGGCTTGCGTGATAATTTGCATAAACGCGGAAGACGTTTATGCATAAAATTATCACGCAAGCCAATCGATTGATCACATCAAGAAATCGAAAAAATAAGACAGTTATTCCTTATATTTACATGCTCTAGATTTCGTCAATCCACGTTCTACAAGCCCTGCTTCTGTCTAGCTATTTGTCCCGCCCTGCACGTGATTTTTTTAACCGCGCCTATTGAAGAACTAGTACATTTATGTAGAAATAAAGTACATTAACTATTTGTAATTTTATCTGGGGAAAAGACATTAGAATTGTAAATATTATCCCAAGGGGGCTTGTAACACCTGGGGTCTAAGTGGATGTGGGGAGTGCCGAGCACGCGGTTTGAGCAGAACAAAGAAGGCTGTTTAGATAGGCAGACGTATTTAAGTTTATGCAGACGTAGTTAGGTTGATTGTATGTACATCGGTACTTGAGTTAGGAAGATTGGGGGGAGTTAAAACTCTATATTTCTTAGTATCTAACTAATATGTTTTACGGTGTGACCATTGGGGCGAGCGCAGTTTAGTTAGAATGATCTAACTGTGTCTCGGTACAAGCCCTCACCACAGTTAGAATACGTCCCATGTACTTGCAATGTAGCAAATTGGAGCAGATCCGCACCAAAATGATTTTGAAGAATATAAAAGGATTTGCACTGGAAATAACTACCAAATTAATCAAAACAAACCTTTTTGAGATTGCTTATGCCTTTTATCCCAGAAAATAATCCATCTAAAGACGAAAATCTAATTAATTTTCTCAACGTTTTTCTCTCGCTTCAAATTTACCTGCCATGTTTACATTCGGAACTCTCTAGATTGTTCGTAGTAAATGCACTGAGTTATAGTGAGTACGAGTTATCGCCCATGTTTCTTTTGCTACATTACGAATACACGGAACGAATTCTATCGTTAAACCGGGTCCGTAGGACAATATCATTTTAACGATAGAACGTTCTATCTAAGCGCAGTTGTACCATCAAAAACACTTGAAATTTCTTGAAAAATTGATCAGCCACTTCGAACATCAAGCCGCAACGAGACATCTCGACCAGCTGTGACGTCACACGTCGTCACGGAGCTCGTCGGAGCTTACGGAGACAGCCGAGCGCCTGGTTGCAACTATAGACCTTGTGCAATTTTGGTCGAGAAACATTGCAGAGTTTTTTTTGTTTCTTTGAAAATTTTTCTACAAACTGAATGCCTTTTATACTTTACGTTATTATTTATTTATTTATTTGCGCAAAGGACATTGGGTAGTGCAGGAATTCTGGGAATGTTTCACAGAGAAATTTGCCTGACGTATGTACAGAAATCCGAATTTCCTCTGATCATACACGTTAGTCTATTGAGCTCGCTTCGCGACGCTCGCTGCGCTCGCTATTATTAGACAATAGGGTCGAGATCATTTGACTCGGGAATGGAGACGGCGCGACCGTTAGTGTTTTCAAGAAAAAGTTCATCTTTGTTGCATGAAACTCCTAAAGTAGAGAGGCATCACCCTACCTCAGACATTTTTTCGGGTGCAAGGCCTAAAGAAAATATCGGTAATCCTAGTTATAGACAAAGCATTGGCCAACAGATGATGATGACTATTTGTCGTCTGGTATTACTATGAGAAAACCTTCAAGAGTAAGGTTTTCATCACCGACACGTGTAAGCGCCAAAGAAAAACCTTCTCCTAAAACCCCTGTCACACCGGGGCTGCGTCCTCACGGCGACTGCACGGCGTCCTCAAAAATTGCAAAACGCCGAGGTGATCGCAGTAGAGTCTCCTACAGCGCCGTGACAACGCGACGAGATCTCCACTAAACGCCGTAGGGTCGCGTAGGGTCTCCTGGAACGCCAGGGGACGGCGATCACTTTGGGCATGCACAAAGTACACGCCGTGTGATCGCCGTCTGATAAGAACGCAGTAGAAACGTTGTATGATCGCCGTAGCAGCGCGGTAGGATCTCCAACAACGTAGTGGGAGCTGCGTACGAACGCCGTGAAGACGCACATGATCGCGGCATGAACGCAGTGATAGTAGACTGCGCTTCCACTGAGACCCTACGGAGACCCCACGGAGTCCTTGGAGATGTCACTGCGTTTCTATCGCGTTTTTACGGCGCTTCTAATGAAATTTATCGTCTTGTGATTTTCTCGACTGCGATTTCAATGCGACAACACGGCGTTGTCACTGCGATCACTGCGCTCCCGTGGCGTTTCTACAGCGTCCGTTGGCGATCACAATGCGCTTTCACGGCGTTGTTAAATCGTTGTCAGCCACTTTACAAAAACAGCAGCAATGGCTGCTGCACAACGACAAACAGGAATGCTCCTTGCATTGATACACGTGCAACAAGCTCAAGAAGAAGAAGACGCTTTATTTATTGTCCAAAGACGAAGACTGAGGAGAGCCAAAAGGCGTAGGAGAGTCTGGGTACGGCTGTGGCTGGGCGTCAACAGAAGGCTTGATTACGGTCACTTTCATCGACTAATGCCTGAGTTACGGAACGAAGATCCTGCAAGTTTTATAAATTTTCTCCGTTTGCCGCCTGCTATGTTTGATGAGCTCCTTGCAAGATTGCGACCATATATTACCAAGCAATTAAGACACTAATTATCGTAAAGCAATCGAACCAGGTTTGAAACTTGCTATGATTTTACGCCACCTTGCGACCGGGGAAAGATATGCAAGCATGAAATTTGACTTCAGAGTACCCCACAACACAATTTCTCTATGCGTTCGTGAAGTATGTCAGGCCATCATAAATGAGTATAAGGACGAGTGTCTTCAATGTCCAATCACTCAAGTAGAATGGCGTGAAATTTCTGCAGAGTTTTGTCGCAAATGGAACATGCCCCATGCATGTGGCGCACTTGATGGAAAGCACATTGCTTGTAGACGTCCTCGCAACAGCGGTAGTTTGTATTATAACTATAAAGGTTTTTTCTCAATCATGCTCATGGGCCTTGTTGATGCAGACTATAAATTCTTGTGGATTGATGTAGGTGGATATGGACACATGTCCGATTCTCAGATTTTCAACGCGTCCGAGCTGAAGGAATGTTTAGAGGACAGCAGCATTGGATTTCCTGCTGCAGACCCACTTCCGAATGATGAAATACCAACATCGTACTTCATTCTGGGTGACGATGCTTTCGGGCTTTGCACATACCTCATGAAGCCATATTCACAGCGCCAAATGACAAAAGAGCAAAGAATTTTTAATTACCGAGTGTCGAGGAGTCGACGTATTGTTGAGAATGCGTTTGGAATCATGGCGCAGAGCTGGCAGATTCTATTTACAACAATGCAACAAGAACCCGAAACAATCGCTATAATCGTCGAAACATTTTGATGCGTATGCACTACCCTGCACTCCAAAACCCTGACATACACGTAGAAAACGCAGACCACCAAATAATCCCTGGTTCATGGCGGGATACGACAAATATGCATGATGTGGAGAATGCTGTGGGCCCCAATCGAGATAGCACAGCAGCAAAGAAACTACGGGAGTATCTAAAGTTGTATTTCAACTCCACAGCTGGTTCTGTGCCTTCGCAGGATCGTATGATTTGAATTCTACCAAGATAACATTAGAGAATAGGACAGAAGTTGTATTTCAACTCCACAGCTGGTTCTGTGCCTTCGCAGGATCGTATGATTTGAATTCTACCAAGATAACATTAGAGAATAGGACAGAAGTTTAATTTTTTATGTGTGTTTATGAATCGATTTACTTAAATATGATTTTTATGAATGTTCATCAATTTCCTATTGTTTTATTTGCATTTTATGAAATTTCATGATTACCCACTTTTCATTAGAATAAGCAAAGTAAAAAAACTATGTTGAAATCATTTATTTACCTATAAATGTAGAAAATAAAGTTCACCACTCCCATCTGTATACATGTACATTGTAAAACGGTTCAGATAAAAAAATTCAAACAAACAAAATAAGAACATATTTCACACTTCCTGTGTTTCTTGAGTATCAGTTAAAGAGGAAATAAGAAGTCAGTTACAGTTCATATTTTCTTGTGTATCGAAAAACCCTCAATTGTTTACTGTCCTTCCCCATCCCGACACTCACCATATGGTCCGGAAACTCTGTTAAGAGGGGAGTTACACATTTCCAAACTGCTATTGACCAGGCTAGTTAAGTTTACTGACTGTTCTCCAGATTGAATTGGGGTGCTGGTAGTGGCTATGTTAGATAGCCCTTGGGTCACTACTGTTGTCGGCTGTAGCTCAGTCATCTGTGTCTGAACCCAAGCCGGACTCTGCGATCCCCAAACAGACATATTCCGTTGGACCGTTGTAGGCCACTGCGGAGGCGGAGGCTGCCAAAGTGCGCTAGTCGATCCAGTACAAGGAGAAGGCCGCGAAAAGGCATAGAACTGCTGCTGTGGTGGTGAAAATGGCAGTTGATGAGCAGAATATGGCTGTTGATGAACAACTGGATTGAGGAGCTCTTCACTCTTTTCTTGGTATGTGTACATTAGGTTGGAGCATTCCCTTTGGGGACGGATGCAGGTTAATCATTACTTCCTTTGTCCAGTCAGCAAATGCCGTTCTCTCCGTAGCCTTTGGAGGAGCCAGCATCTCCAATACTTTCGTCTGGAAAGCCATGGACTGTTCACAATATTGCTGAGCAATCTATCTTCCTCTTGAATGGCTTTCTTTCTGGACGATACTGATGATGAAGGCTCCAGCTGTTGATGAGAGATAGTGTCAGTTTCTGTTTCTGTTTCAAATTCTTTCTCTAAATTACTATCATCCTCTGTGGATTTAGTGGAAGCTATCTTCTCTTTCATCTGTAAAAGCACAAAAAATAAGAAACGTAGATCACAAGTTGGGAACTTTGTGGACATTAAAATATTAAATAGGTCTACATTAAAATGAAAGGGCTTTTTGTACTTACACTGACTGTAGTTTTCTTCTTGATTTCAAAGATATGAACCTTCAGCCAGGCAAAATTTTGAAGGATCCAGCGGTCTCTTTCTGTTAGCTCACTTGCACCATCACCAGATTTTCTATGTAAGAGGCGGGTATACCGGGTACGGATGGACCGGTACCAGGTCTTCAAAGTTTTAACGTCCTTGCCAAGGCTAGCTGCTTTGGATTCCCAAAGAGAGTCTTTCTTTTTGAAATCCTTGTAGGCATTCAGCTTTTTGTTGTACAAAATTTCGTTTGCCTCAAGCCAAGAAGCCATTTCATCCTCTTGTTCATCGGTGAGATTAGTCTTAGATCTTTTCTGTGACTGTATTGGAAGACTGTCTGAGGTTGAAGGGTTTGATGGACTGCTTGCTCTAGAGGAAATCGAACAAGGTGATTTCTCGCGCTCTGGATGAGGTTGACAGTGTGATTCTTGATTCAAATTTGTTGGCATTGGATTTTGCTTTGGTTCTAAATCTGTAGGATTTGAATCCAATGTCCGAGGACTATTTTTTGTCCTTCTTTTAGATTTCGTTTTCCTTTTCCTTGTCATGGTGAAAGGCAACTGAATGACGATGCTTGTATTGCTTTTGTTTATATAGCAAGGTGAAGAACGTATTGTGAACGCCGAACACGCGCCTTGAGAACGCCGTGCACGCGAGGTGACAACTCCTTGAACGCCGTAAAAACGTCGGGAAGACGCCGTGGAAGCGCAATAAATCGCTTAGAGATCTCCGTGGGATCGCAGTAGCTCGCTGCGAGAACGCCGTAGAAACGCGCCAGTCGCCGTAAGGACTCCGTGACATCTTCACATTCTGAAAATTTGACAGAAATTTGTGCAGTTTCATTGCGATTCCACGGCTATTTTCAAATTTTAACAACGCCGTAACAACTCCGTGGGGAGGCGGTTGGTGTGACAGGGCCTTAAGGCAGCCACTGTAGCCTTGAAGCCTGCTACATATGATGGAACGATAGCATGGCAAGACTACCGCAGTCACTTTGAAGCGCGTGCGCAAATAAACGACTGGAACGAGGAAAGTAAAGGTACCTACCTTGCTGTTTCCTTGCGTAGTAATGCCCTGGGGGTCTTGGGGAATCTTTCTAGAGGAAGATCTCCAGAATATGAAGAGTTGGTGCGTGTTTTGGAAGAGAGGTTTGCTCCACCAAGTCAGACAGAGTTATATAGAGTACAGATGCGAGAGCGTCGGCAGAAGCCAGGGGAAACTTTGCCAGAACTCGGTCAGGCTATTCGGAGACTTGCCAACCTCGCGTATCGAACAGCAGACGCCGAGATAAGAGAGACTCTTTCTAAAGATCAATTTATTGACGGGCTTGTTGATTCCGAGATGAGGATACGAATAAAGCAAGCTAGGCCAGCAAATTTAAATTAGGCCATAAGGTTGGCTGTAGAGTTAGAGGCATAAAACAGGGCAGAGCGTAAAAGGCATCTCAGGAGTGCGACCCCTGAAGTTTGCAATAAAGTGTATGAATATAAAGAGGGTGACCTTATATCCCTGATTACGAAGCTCTCTGACAAATTCGAGAAGCTTTCTAAAGATGTAGAAGAAATAAAACAAAGGAGATCTCCATCTTCCCCTGTTTGGAGTAAGGGTGGTCACAAAGAAGGGGGTAAGGACAGGGTTAAATGCTTCTATTGTCATAAACAGGGTCACATGCGTAAACATTGCCCAAATCTTAAAGCCAAGGGCATGGAAGCTGGTAAGGAAGCTGCAAAAGGCAGCAGTAGCGATTTTAAAAGCAATGGGGAGACATTCTCCCATGCTTCTGTGGGTTCTAATACTATTGGTCTGGAAGCAGGGTTGTTTGTTAATGCTAAAGTCAATGGGTTGAATTCAAAACTTCTCGTTGACACAGGAGCAACTTTGACCCTTGTTTCTGCTAAATTGATGGAACATATCGTAAGCCAGGACACCCCAGAATTATTTCGAATGGAACGAGATGTTTTAGACGCAGGTGGAAATAATTTAAATGTGATGGGAAAGGGTATGTTCACTTTTCAAATAAGCAATTTTCAATGTTCTGTTAAAGCTGTTGTTGCTGAATGTTGATGGTTAGGCCTTGATTTCTTAACACAACATGACTGTAGTGTAGACCTGAAAAGCCAAGAGTTAGTCGTGGGACGACATAACAACTTCACCATGGAAAAGAAAGGTCACTTTGGGTGCTTTAGGGTGGTAACGTTGAACACAGTGACCATTCCTGCAAACAAAGAGGTTTTAATACCTGGAAAGGTTTGTATACCAGAGGGTGGTCAGCTGCCTTCTCGTGAAAGTTTGGTTGAACCGTTAGAGGAAAATACTGCAGAGTCGTCTACTGCAGTTGGTAGATCTTTGGTTCTTGGTGCGAATGTAGTACCAGTTCGTGTCTTCAATTACACTGATGAACCTTGTCTTATTCATAAGGGCACAAGCTTGGGCCAGATAAGCCCGGTGTTTTCAGTGAGTAACAATTGTCAAGAGGTAGTTGCTACGGAAGTCAATGAGCAACTGGTGGACCTTCTCGGACGATGTAGTGAGGACCTAACAAAGGATCAAGTCAAGACTGTTCGTGATATGCTGAAAAGCTATGGCCATCTTTTTGCAAAAGATAATTAGGACTTGGGCTTCACCAATGTTATCGAGCTTGAAATTAATGTGGGGAACGCTAAACCTGTAAAAGAACCCCCTCGCCGTCTCCCATATCATGCCACTGAAACGGTTGACAAGCAAGTGCAAGAAATGATGAGAGATGGAATAATTGAGCCATCATCCAGTACTTGGGCTGCAGGGGTTGTACTTGTGAAGAAGAAGGATGGTTCGACACATTTTTGTGTTGATTATCGGAAGCTGAACAAGTTGAACATTCAGGATGCGTATCCTCTTCCTCGCATAGACGAGTCCCTCGACAGTCTGAAAGGTAACAAATGGTTTTCGACCCTTGACTTGTTTTCCGGTTATTGGCAAGTATCTGTCAAACCAGAGGACCTTCCAAAAACGGCCTTTGTTACTCGTAAGAGTTTATACCAATTTATGAAAATGCCTTTTGGACTGAGTTGCGCTCCCGCGACATTTCAGAGGCTCATGGAGAAGATAATGACGGGGCTTCAATGGGAGTTCTGTTTGATATATTTGGATGATGTAATCATTGTCGGTAAAACATTCGAGCAAATGATTCAGAATTTGATGACTGTTTTTGATCGTCTCATTGCAGCAGGTCTCAAGCTCAAGGCGAAAAAGTGTACTCTCTTTGCGAAGGAAGTTTTATATTTGGGCCATGTTATATCTGAGGAGGGGGTTGCCACAGGTCCAGAGAAAGTTAAAGTGATAAAGGATTGGCCAGAGCCTTGCAACGTCAGTGAGTTCCGTTCGTTTCTTGGTCTCTGCGGGTATTATCGGCGTTTTGTTGAGAAATTTTCGGAAAGGGCCAAACCTTTATCAAAGCTTACAGAAAAAGGGGCTGCGATGAACTGGACGCAGGATTGTCAGGATGCATTTAGGGATCTAAAGCAGCGATTATGCAAGGCTCCGATACTTGCAATGCCAGATTATAATCATGAGTTCATTCTGGATACAGACGCAAGCAACCAAGCCATTGGAGCTGTTTTATCCCAGATGAATGAATTAGATGGCATTGAAAGACCGATTGCGTATGCAAGTCGCACCCTGTCAAAAGCTGAGTGCCAGTATTGCGTCACGAGGAAAGAACTGCTAGCGGTGGTAAACTTCACGAAATATTTCAAACATTATCTGTACGGCAAGCAATTCACCGTGAGAACAGACCACAGTTCATTGCGCTGGTTGCTCAATTTTAAAAACTCGGAGGGTCAGCTAGCGCGATGGATCGAGGCGCTAGGGAATTTTAAAATGAAAATAGAACACCGTCCTGGAAAACAACATAGTAATGCTGATGCGCTAAGTCGACTTCCTTGCAAGAAGTGCTGCATGCCTGAGGAACCGATTGTATCGCAAGTGCGCAACATAGCTCCGGACACAAATATGAAGTCTCTACAAAAGGAAGATGCTGCTTTAGAACTGGTCAAAATTGGGTTTTAGAGGGCAAGAGACCTGAGTATTCTGCTATAAGTAGTGAGGGACGCGTAGTCAAATCGCTGTGGTCACAATTTGAGGCTTTGATTGTTGATGATGACATACTGTATAGGAGATGCATCGATGGTAAAGGCACTAAGTTACAAGCTGCTGTGCCGTTTAGTGAGAGGCGCACAGTTCTAGGTGAACATCATGAAAACAGGGTGTCGGGTCACTTAGGTATGACAAAGGCAGTTGCGAAGATCCGTCAGCGGTACTATTGGCCATGCAGGTCTTCAGTCAGATGTCCGTGCGTACATCGCATGCTGTGAAAAATGCAGTAATTATAAACGGAAAGGTTTTCAAAAGACAAAGCAATCGCCTATGCAAATTGTCCAGGTTGGGGCACCAATGGAGCGTATAGCAACAGATATACTTGGGGAATTACCCATAACAAACAAGGGGAATAGGTATATACTTGTAGTATCGGACTACTATTCAAAATGGACGGTGAGCTTTCCGATGAGAAATATGGAAGCCGAGACTGTGGCAAAAGTCATCGTTGAACAAGTTATTACTCGGTTCGGTGTGCCTTACGTCATCCATGCTGATCAGGGGGCACAATTTGAAAGCAAATTGTTTGCAGATGTCTGTCAGCTTCTTGGTATTAAAAAGACACGAACCACTCCATACCACCCCAAATCCGACGGAATGGTGGAGCGTTTTAATAAAACGATAGCAACTATGCTCAGCGGATATGTAGATGAACACCAGAAAGACTGGGATATCCACCTTCCGTACGTGATGATGGCCTATAGATCTGCAGAACACGAGACGACAGGGTGCACTCCTAATGCCCTAATGCTTGGAAGGGAAATGGCGACACCACTTGATGTGATGTTTGAAATGCCAGCCACTGCCTCTGTCGTCCCGCATAATGTATGGGCTTGTGAACTGAAACAGCGTATAGAAGAAGCTCATAGTGCAGTTCGCCAACATACGGGTCAGGAAATGCGTTGACAGAAGAGATATCACGACGCAAAGATAAACTGGCAAAGCTTTCATAAAGGGGATGAAGTATATGTTTTCTTTCCTCGGAGAAAGGTGGGTCACTCCCCGAAATTTACGAGCTTTTGGAGACCCATTCACCATCGTTTCAAAGAAATCAGATCTATTGTATGAAGTCAACTGTAGGTAGAAGGAACAGTCGCAGATAATACATGCCGATAGGTTGACTGCTAAAACCTCAGATTTTGGCAGATGAGGTCGTTGTAGACAATGAAGAAGATGAGGTTGAATCGTTCAACACACAAGATTTGGTAGATACCCATGTTTAGGGACAAGATGTAGATCTGACAAGAGGATTAGAAAACAGCCCATCTGGCATAAAGACTATGTCCAGTGAACATATTGGTGAAGGGAGGGCTGATATGTATATTAATGTAGAGGTATAGATTAATGTAAATAGAGCATGTTATATGTTTATTGGCTAATAAAAAAAAAGAAAAGAAAAAATATATAAAATATAAAATGCTTATGCGAGGACGCATAAAATTAAGGAGGGGGTAATGTCGCGGATGTATTCCGGAATTCGGAGAATCGGCCATGAAAAATCTAAATTTATGTTGAACTTTTTTTGTCAATTAACCTGTACCTGATTTATTCGACTTCAGTTCTCCAACTCTCTTATTTTAGTGAATTCTTAGCATCAGTTGGATAATCTAAGCTGTGCATTAACATTTTAGTATATTTGTGTATTTAATATTGCCATTGCAGTGAATAAAATAGTATTTGCTACCTGATGTCCAACGAAATACGCGTGGACGGGTTATCTACTTGATCCCAAGGGGGCATGTAACACCTGGGGTCTAAGTAGATGTGGGAAGTGCAGAGCACGCGGTTTGAGAAGAACAAAGAAGGCTGTTTAGATAGGCAGACGTATTTAGGTTTATGCAGACGTAGTTAGGTTGATTGTATGTACATCGGTACTTGAGTTAGGAAGATTGGGGGAGTTAAAACTATATTTCCTAGTATCTAACTATTATTAGACAATAGGGTTGTTGGACTGTTTTGTCCTGCTTTAATATTTGTTGATTCATGGCCTGTTGAGGGTGCTGGAATTTTGGTCATATTTAATTAAGTGTATGACTGTCGCTTTACGGTGTTTGTAAAGTGTGGTACCCTGTGTCTTGTTCTGTTGTGGATCTGTCTGTGCGGTAGAGCACTGGTTTGCTTTTCGTCTTCACTTTCGTTGGCTTAGTATGTTTTCTTGGCATGTTCTGTAAAAACGTTGAATATATTTAGTCTGTATATACGTTGCGCATATTTGTATATTTTGGCAGCGCACATCAGTGTCTTAGTTCTATCCCTAAGGTCTGATTCTTATCAGACGCGATCCCTGAGTGTTGTGGGGAGGCCGGTTGGGCTCTAATCCGTCCCCCTACACGTGACAGGACATCAGTGTTTCACATTTTTTTCTATATTAAACATAGGTGATCAGAGATTACAGAGCTCACCTCAACGAATGTTGTCTTTAAGTAAGGCAAATTAAGTCACACAATTAACCAACAAAAAGTGTACATCCAAAAATGCAAAATTTGTGCAATTTTGATACTTTGGAATAGACCTATATAAAAACTTAAAACTAGTTCTTCATAATGAAAATGTAATTAAAATCCAGCATCTGAAAAGATTGAAGTTTTCATCCCTCGATGCATCATTTGTGCAACTTTGGTTTATATAAGCCTTATAGTTAAAGGTGATAGACCTGCACCCATAACTTTTACAAGGTCTATTATCTGGAAAATGTATGTCGAATTCAGCATCTGAAGCAAGTCCATTAGTGTGCATCCTAAGATGTATCATCCATGCAAGTTTGTTCAACATAGAGCTCAGAGTTACTTGGAAATGAAACCTGTATAAAAAACTAATCTTTTCACTAATCCGGAAAATGTAGGTCAGATTCAGCTTCTGAAGCCAGCCTAGTAGAATGCACCCTTAGATGTACCATCCATGCAAGTTTGGTCATTATAGGGCTCAAAGTTACTTGGAAATGAATCCTGCACCATAAACTTTAACCTGTTTACTCGTCCAGAAAATGTAGGTCAGATTCAGCATCCGAAGCAAGTCTGGTATTATGCATCCTAAGATGTACCATCCAGGCAAGTTTAGTCATTATAGGGTTCATAGTACCTTGGAAATGAAACCTGCACCAAAAATTTTAACCTGTTCACTCAACCGGAAAATGTAGGTCAGATTCAGCATCCGAAGCAAGTCTTGTAATATGCATCCTAAGATGTACCATTGCAAGTTTGGTCATTATAATCATAGAAACTTGGAAATGAAACCTGCACCAAAAACTTTAACCTGTTCACTCAACCGGAAAATGTAGGTCAGATTCAGCATCCGAAGCAAGTCTTGTAATATGCATCCTAAGATGTACCATCCATGCAAGTTTGGTCATTATAGGGCTCATAGAAACTTGGAAATGAAACCTGCACCAAAAATTTTAACCTGTTCACTAAACCGGAAAATGTAGGTCAGATTCAGCATCCGAAGCAAGTCTGGTAGTATGCATCCTAAGATGTACCATCCATGTAAGTTTGGTCAACATAGGGCTTATACTTACTCGGAAATGAGACCTACACCAAAAACTGCACCAAAAATGTTAACCTGCACCAAAAACATTAACCTGGTCATTCCTCTGCTGAAATTGCAGCATCTGAAACTTTGACTGGTACAATGAAAGACATTAGAAACATCTTCCATGCATGTCTAATCAATATAGGACATAGAAGTACTTAAAAAGAAAACTGCTCCAAAAAACTTAACCTTAAGCCAGGACGCCGACGCCGACACCGACGCCGAGGGTATCACATAAGCTCCCCCCAACATCGTTGAGGTGAGCTAAAAATATGTAAGCTCATGGACCATCATACGAAAATATCAGATATCTTCATTAAATAAGCTCTTTTTAGTACTGATAAATCTGGGGGGAAAGTTGAACTTCGATTTTTCGAAGATCGATTTCTCGAATACCATGGATTGTCAAAGTGAGCTTGAAGTCTACTAATTTTTTCTTTATTTACTTAGTTTCCCTTTATACCTCAAATCTTTGTAGATTTCGAAGTTTTTCTTTTTTCCATCTCATTCGAGATAACGAGATGTGACTATTAATTGCCGGAGGTAAAAGATAAATAATACCTGGGGACTTTTATTTGATTCTGCATGGTCGATCTCTCCTAAAGTTGCAAATGATGACGTTAATCGTTATCAGCCCTCTGTGCACTTAGCACAGGTGTTAAGTTTTGGCAGAGCCTGTCAAAACACGAGTCTGCCCTCCTGACCTGATCCCATACTTAGAGAAGCATGCTCCGAGGAAACGGTCGCCATTGCTGCGTTTGGGAGTGAATAGAGCACGTGGATTATTTTTTTTTTCAAAATTTCATTTCTAACCAAAATATTGAACTGGCGGTATTCTGATATTGGTCTGAGGAAGCACCTGATTCACCAGGTAAGAAGTGTGCTCAGAACAGGTATAGGGGAAAGCTAATTCAAAACTTGAAACTTTTTCAATTTCCTATTTGCAAAAATTTTAAATTGCTGAATCAAATATTTAGCGTATTAGCGTATTTATCCAAAAAAAAAAAAAAACCTGGAATTACAACAAAACCTTTTTAAAAAATATGTATATAAATGGTTAATATATTCAAAACACGTCTTCAAACGAATAAAGTTAATAACAAATTAATGGACATTTCTTTAGATGATATAAAATTAATATAATGAAATAAAGTTTCGACGATTACAGACTACATTGATTTTAGAAGTTAGAAAACAATGCTTATATGAACAAGTAACTGTACGTGTAGTTTTTCTGTTAAATTTGTATTCTTTCATGATATTCTTCAAAGTCTTTGGTGGCATTTACTTATTATCTACAATTATTTTAAATCGTTTGGTTTTTCCAATAATTTGATCGAATATTGACCGATGATCGATGTCTGTTGCCCACCACTCACTCCCGATGACCTTAGATTCAACGGACACTGAACGATGATCGGCCATACATCGACTAATCCTTGAAGGATGTATTAATGATGGGTTGCCGATGAGGAGCGATGTGGGCTTCGGTAGAGACATCGCTTAATTTTAACTACAACTTATTTTTTTCCCGATAATCCTTATCAATTCGCCCGATGGCCTCATTCACCGTCCGATTACTATGGGTGTTGGGCTGGCAACCACGTCATTTTTATTTTAAAAACCGCATTGGTTGCCCATCGTGTACCTTATCGCTGGATAATGTGATTGATACTAACTTGAAGAGTATTGCAAGAATTCATGTTTTCCTATTTGCCGAAATAGGTCTGCTGCTGCTAAAACAACAAACATCAATCTCGTGTGATGACGTGCTGCTTCTGGTGTTAACCTGACCAAACGTTATTCTGTGTGACGGAACCTTTAACTATTTGTTCTTTTTAGGAAGACATAAACTTTTTTGTGACTTGGGCCATATCTACCTTTTTTTTAAAACAAACCTATAATTTTCAAAAGATTTAAGAACCCTCTCTACACTGCACACTAAAGAGTTCTGATTCTATGGTATTTTTTAGCAATTAGAGTGATCTGCCCTTAGATCTAAATTCTAAAAAAAATAGAAATTCATAATCAATTCAAGTATTCTTAGCATTTTAAAAGGTCAAGGTACTAGTAAATTAACTGAACATGTTATTTACATGTATTTTCTCTACTGAAGTAATTAACAGTTAATTTCTATTTACTGATACTGTGTTGTGTTTGATTATTTTTCCTGGGGGTAAATGCCACGTACCATATAGTGAAAATTAATCAAAGAAGCTTAATATTAACACCTTTATAGAATATATTTTTCTCAATGTCCAAAAAACGTTTTGCACTGGTGTAGAGAGGGTCCTTAACCAGAATAAAACTTTTGTTTCTAATAAATTAAAAAGATATATATTCTAAATTTTGATGAGCATGTTTGCCACTCACTGTGTTACATGCAATGCTACTCCTCTGCTATTTATGTCCAAGCAAAACAAAACCTAACTCCGCGTACAGAAAGATGCCTCATATATGATTGTCTCCGCGGGGAATCATTCTGTGATACAATGTAGACAAAATCTTTAAAGTGTTTGTAACGTTTTGTAGAATAGGGTTTGAAGTCCGATCACTTGTCTACTCCTTAAAAATAACGAGAGTCGAGGCCCTGATCGCTTAAAACTGCTACTTCTGCCAGCTAAGTGAAAAAAATCATTGCCCTTTCCCCCACCCACCAAGGGGGATGGTTGTTGTTACAATGGTTTTACAATGTGGAGAGAGCCGATGTAGCTTGAAACTGAATTCAATCAAAGCGCAATATATTAAGGCTAATCTTTATATTACCAAAAAAAAAAGGGGGGGGGGTGATGTGATACAAATAATGTCAGCAATGTTGACGGAAGGATCAAAAACTTACAGAATGCTCTAAAACTTTATTTTCAGAGAACAGCCTTTAATTTTAGGAGGCATGATTGCAATGGATCTCTATAACAAAAAAAAAAAAAATACATGTAATAATAATTTAACTTAAAATACATATGATTATACTAAACAAATGAGTAAACAATAAACGCAGTAAAACAAGGAAATTAAAATAAAATTTCGAATTTGTAGCTCAACCCTAACACTCGAATCTCTGAACTTAGTTGCTTTGAAAATCAATTCAAAATTCACAGGTTTGGTGGAAGGTAGACTTAGGCTTAATATTTATAAACAGTTTGACTACTCGATGTTCAAGACATATAGGTACTTGTTTCGGAAATAAATTATTAACCCAAAGTATAATAATGTCCTCTAAAAAAATTTGAATTTTTCAATTAAAATTTGTAATTGTCATATATAAATTTTAATTGAAAAATTCAAATTTTTGTAGAGGACAATAATATGCGTTATTCTTCTACTGTGGGTTAAAAAATTATTTCCGAAACAAGCGTCTGTGGTTCAAGAGTAAAGAAGGCGATTTTTAAAGATAGTGTTTAAATGGTTTTAGCCCCACCCCTCAAGGGTTCAATGATTTTCGATGATATTCGATTTTTCCCCTCCATCAATTGATGCCACATGCCAAAAATGATTTAAGCAGAAATATATTCAGTTGTTCACGGAAAAAAATTGAAAATGTAAATTACGAACGACGCACATCTCACAACGACGGACGGAAAAAGGATGCACTGGTCATCCGAAAAACTCAGGTGACCAAAAATTTGTTAATTCGCACAGGAAATTCAAACGAGTAATACTTTTCTGTTTTCTTACCCTTTGTTTTAAATTCTATATGAAATACATTTATAAGATACTTAGTATTTAGACAATTAAAAAATGCAGCAGTTTAAATGAGAATGGACTAAGATTCATTTTAATGAAATTCTTTTACATGCGAATACCAAGAAATGCTAATATATTGTATAAACATTTACTATCTTTGCTTATATATATGTACAAGAAATTTTTATGCATTTCATAGCAAGACCTTTTTGGACTTAAACCTATTTTATCAATAGAAAGAGTACGTTCGTGTTTGTTTTTTTTTTTTAGCAAACGTTTTAAGATGTCAGACGTGACAAATCATAAAGAGGCAACAGAGGACGATGTAGAGCAAACGATATTTGTGAACCAAAACGAGGTCAGCGTTATAGAAAATGAGGTCAATGTTAACAAACGAATTGATCGACACATCATATACGGGGTCGAGGAACATCCCCCAATCTACCTTACCGTCATCTCAGGCTTTCAGGTAAAAATTGGTTTTAAATATATAACAATATTACAATATAAAATTTTTTTTTCTATAAAAATTAATTGCAGAATATAAATTTTGAAAGCTTTTATTTCATAGTTTGAATCCTTAACGATATAACTGAATCCTTCAATAAGTCGATCATAGACAATTATGCCAAAAGATATGGTCTCCCTTTGTCAGCAAAACCTAAACGTGCATGGCATTGAAATCATACAAGTTTATCTTTTAAAAAAGATAGGTGAGCTAGCGCCGTAGCAATTTTTTAACACAGAAAGGAATGTCCGTGATCAAGTGATTCATTTTTCAGAATTCTTTAATGTTTATCGAGGCTGGAGTGTGATAAAGTTATAAATTGTTTTGTGAAGTGTATTTTATAGACTCATATGTAAGAAACGAGGGGGGGGGGGGGGTTGACCTATTGGAGTGTTGGCGCAACGGAACATTTATGACCTTTACTGGAGAGGGGGGACTCTTTATATTGTACGAGCTGGTTTAGAAATAGAATTTCTTGGCAATGTAGCAAAGAAAATACAGGGGAGTTAAAAGGAATATAGAAAATAACTCAAAGTGTATGTTGTATAAAGAAATCCAGAGAGTTCCGAATGTGAAGATGTGAAGTAGTTTGGTTCTTTGGGTCATTTTTGTCAAGAACGGTTAAAAGTCATACACATCAGAATTTTTTTTTATATAAAAATTGGATTTATTCGTTATTTTTAGTGTAAATTCTTGTTTCTTGAATTTGTAAGATTGGCTGAATTGACCAATCAGAAATTAGAGTCTATCTTTGGTTGTGCTTAGACTAAAGAAAAACCTCCCTCGTCTTTGTTTAGAACAATCAGATAATGACTCGGGCTTTTTCGTCAGAAAAAAAAGGAAATTTGAAGTATTACAATTACGTAGTAATCTTTAAACTGTAAGCTACACAATAGATAAACATAGTTATTTAACAAGTTTGGCTTTCCAGAAAGCCTGAAATGTCATCTCTTTGGTATCAATAATGTCAAAGAAATAAAACAGAAGGGAAATATTTTAAGGTCGAGATCTAGTAAATGACAGGTGCCTACAGATTTATCAAATTTGAGAAATAAGTTCCTTTATTGATGCTTTACAACTTTAGCTAGGTCAAATATTTTATATAGGCATAATTTGTAGGTAAACAAGATGAAAAACTGTAGTTTATATTGTCATTTTCAATGAAAAATTAAGAGAACCAGTCATGAATATGGGAGTTTTTTTCATATTCAACAAAGAAAATGTATTCAGATTGCCTACAGTCTCTTAGAAAACGGTAATTAGTATGTTCATGGCCTCTTCTTTAAACTAATATCAAAATTAATGTAGGTATCCGGCTTTTTTCATATGATTTCAAATTGAATGTCATGAAAATACCCTATTTTCTACATAATTCTGGAAAAGCCGTAAAGTACGGGAAAAACAAAGTTGAAATTGATTATGACGTCATAATGGATCTAGCACCAAAAAATTAGTCTAAAAATATTTACTAGGAATTGACCTTAATGCAATGAATATATGGATTATTATACCTGAAGTTCCCAATGACTTATTCAGCAAACAGAAAACTAAACTGACAGGTATTTTAAAATAAGCAAGGGTAGATGGAACGTTGCATATCTTTAAAATGATGTTTTGTACGGATCCAAGTTAGATCATTCTAACTAAAGCAAGAGCAGTCCAAAGATTATTCCTACCCACGTAGCTTAAGTATTTAAACCTTTCGACAAGAAGCCAAATATACCTACGTTTCGCTCACTTTTAGGAAAAAGTCCTAGGGGCAGTGTGCTTTTAGGAGTGATTTAACTATGGATACTACTACAAATATATATATAGAAATCACGTCATTGTCAATTCTCCTTGTGTGGGTTACCAATTTTATAAGGCATAGTGTTGAGGATCTATATATATATACGACACACCAAAACTTTTTTTTTATAAGCATCGTACTTCTTTTCTAAATTTTCCTTGGCTTTCAAGGCAAATGGGCCTAAACCGAAAGTAGATCACACACTTCTAAGCTAGTTCTTCTAAAAAAGTAAACCAGTTTACAGGCTTCTCTCTGAACTCCTTGTGTAGATTCTCACTGTGATATTGTAAAAGACGTTAGTTGCCAATCTCCTACAAATTAATGGCGGCTTACTCTCTCAGGACTTTATGTATGAGCCGGCATACAATCTTAATGTGTCATCTCCCGAGGGAGATGACAATGATACAACGAAATTGTTATCGTACGGTCTATCTATAGTAGTTTTCCCAGTTTTCCCAGAATGCACGACCGTGAAGCCGAGCATTTTTTGCGTTTTCTTTGGAATTTTTTTTTTTTGCTAAAAAGTTATCATGTCCTTGTATGTTTGTTATCAAGCTAATTCACTAAAAAAAAATCATTGTTTCCCTAATTTTTGGCCCGTTCGGCGCACAGGCACCCGTTTCGTATATATATGTGGCACCCCTTCTTAAAAAAGCACGGGGTGTCCTGTAGTTCGGCGTCTCTTCTCAGTCTAAATATTTAATAATATAGCCACGTCTTTCGACTCCATGCAATGCCAGACAATATTAACTTTTACTTGTATTCAGTATATAGGGAACAAACGTTTACTTGATCATGTAAATTTATATCCATGTCAATATTGCAGCATGCCTTGATTTCCCTCTCTGGTGTGGTGGCCGTGTCTCTCCTGGTTGCTGACGTCACATGTGCTGAGAGATATGACGACATCAAAACCAGGCTCCTTAGCTCATCCCTCTTGATGTGTGGAATTTGTACTCTTCTTATGTCGCTAATAGGTTCTCGGTAAAGCTTCTTTTTCCTTTCAAAGCATCCTTTTTGAAATTCAAAAACTGGAGATATTTCATGGGTACAAATTGTGCCCCGTTATTACCAGATCTATTTTGAATTCAAATGAAGCAGAGTTTATTCTAAATATTATACATGAGAAAAAAAACACAGGTCGTGACCTTCAACTCGAAATTTAGATATAGGCCTACTGACGAACTCATTATCAATTGTTACTTCAATTAATGTTGACTCGATATATCCCAGTGAGTTTGTTAAAATTAAAGATACCACAGAGACTGACGCATATTTTTCATAGCTTGATTTTTTTTTTTTTTAGAAAAAGACGTTAATAGTACGTATCTTAAAACTTTATATGTTTAACGTTATGACTTCAACTTTCCAACCACCAACTTCCTTTACATATGAAGAAAAATACCCATATCACCTTCAAACAGGGGTTACTTCTCTCAGTTGATTCGATAGCTAGGAGCATAGACCTAATCTTAGGTTTATGCTTGTAGCATGCTTTACGTACGAACAATTTCTAAATGAGGCAAACTACTAACAAATAGTTGATGAAACAAGGATACCAGTAGTCTATAGTAAAGATAACGAAATTTGGGCCTAATTAAGTTCAAACGTATGAAAATAATGAAAGGTAATTAGGTTCAAAAGTTCATTGGAACAATACAGGTAGAAAGTAGAGCAAACACAGAACTCGAAAAACATCAGAGGTTGTATCAGATATCATGTACACTGTAGGATTAAGCATTTCATGTCGACCGGTCACACCTACCTTGTGCTTCTTATAATAATCAGACAAACGGAAAAATCTGAAAAAAAGAAAAATCATGGCATAACAATTTATATGAAAAACGTCAGCATTCATTGCTTCAACAGATAGAAGATTATGTGAATATCGACTTTAAACGAGACAATTAATTTTCTTGTAGTTGCAACGTATTTTGCTCATAGGTCGGTCTTTCCCTCCCTTCTCCCCATTTTCATATTGATGAATCATTCTGTAAACAATTTAACAAACAACTTCTCCAAAAAAGATTGGCTGCTGCAAAATATGTAAGAATAGTTCAGGGAATCCTTTTTTTTTTCTTTTTTTTTTGTAAACCATTAAATTTTCGGAGCTTAAATCAGCTCCAAGGGAAAAATAAAATTTAAATCGTAAACCATTAAATTATATATTATTTGGCTACTGCGAAAATGTAAAAGAAGTTCAGCTCCAAGGGAAAAATAAAATTTACAAAATGGCATGGAGGAATTTGAAAAGAAAACAAGCAGATTTAAAGATTTGTGGTCCCCCATTTTCGGTGTCTTAATGGATGTGATGCTATTATTTATGGCATATTGTGTCAAATATGAATAACCTATCATATGTCATTCAAAAAGATATCACCAAAGTTACGGATTTTTTTGAGAATTGATCAACGTGAAGGTTAAGGGGTCGAAAATGAAAGCATGCTCTGAAATATCTTGTCAAAGGTAAATTATAAATGCGCATGTCACATATGAAAGACCTTTCTCTTCTCAATCGAAAGTAAAAAGCACTATTAAATTTTTTTTTTGAAAAGTATGTCAAACTTTAAGGTCAAGGGGTAAAAAATTATAGCATATTTGGAAATATTTTGTCAAAAGTATTGTACTTGTGAAATACGAAAGCCCTATCTCTTCTCAATCAAAAGTTATGGCCAGAAATTTTGTGACACACGGCATTGTGTTTTACATGTTCTAACATTTTTCTAGAAAAAATGTGCTCTACTTGTGGGTCTCTCAGGAAAAAGAACATTTCCCATTTTTTGTAGTCTTCCATTATTTCAAGGAGCGGCCTCAGATTTTCTCATTCCTTTGTTAGCCATGCAGGTATTGGATCCCACTAAATGTGACCCGACCAATCATATTGCTATAGGTATGGTATTGATTTGTATTTCATATTATACTTCAGAAAAATAGAGATTCCAAAAACAAAAAATTAGCGAGACTCCAGCTATACTTCTGCATGAACCATGGTCTTTTCACCTTTAGATTGTTTTCCCACCCCTTGTCCTTTTCCAAAAGTAAATATCAGGCATGACAGTTATATTGAAATGCTTTTTATTACCATGCTAAAAAAAAATTAACAGGAACTCTAAGGGATACGCTCTTCTATTCCACGTTTCTCTTTCTTACAAATACCGGTATTGGATTGAAAACCAGCTAATGGCATTTTATTGTTTTGTTCCTACGACTTCCTATTCTAGAGATTTGAAATTATCGTTATACGTTCTGCACTGCACGCGACATAAAAAGACACATATCTGGTAGATAGCTCTATTTAATATAATTATATTCAATCATGTACTTTAACCTTTCAGCTCAAAATATAAGTCTTGCAATGAATGAAAGTGACCATGAATCTGATCAAAGGGAATTTGTACTGGACAATATCCGTGAGGTATGTCCATTTTTTGTTTAGATCATATATGTCTCTATAAAATCGTTCTGTGTATGGTCGTCTTTTCTGGAAGTACATAGATAAATAAGCAAATAAACTAAACACAAATTAAGCTTCCTCGAGCATTCCAGATTCCAATTTGTGTTTACATGAATTAAGTCTCTTCTCTCTGTTTAATTTGTTCGGAAGTTATAAGAAGAATGAACAAAATCACAATAAGCATTACCAAATGAGCAAACGAACTCTGTATCATGATGTTAATTCAGTTACAGGGAAGTTTGGTTGCAGCTGGAGCATTCCAGTTTCTGATTGGAGCGACAGGTCTCGTAAGTCTTCTGCTACGTTTTATTGGACCAATCACAATCGTTCCTACACTCTTTCTCAGTGTCGTCTTTCTCGTCCGCGCTGCAGTCAAATTCGTCAAGTTCCACTGGGGAATAGCTTTTCTGTAAGTAGTAAGCTATCAATTTAAGCACTCAGAACTGTTTTCTTGACCGTCTTTCCGATTTTTAAAGACCCACCTTACATTTTATTACCAAAATGACATGATTTGTTTAAAATACATTTTCAGTGTTGCGGCTATTTCTATGATTTTATTCCTTTATCTCGGTCATAAGAAAACACCGGTACCTATGTGGACCAAGAAGAAAAGATTCCATATATTTTGGTTTCCTCTGCACCAAATATACTCTGTGAGTTTAACTGCATGTTTACTAGATTTGTTTGTGCAAAACAAATATTTTACAAGTATTCAATGATATGCCTTTTTACATTACAAATCATCGTCTTGATCTGATTTGTGTTTAACCCTATCCCCATTGCAGATTTTACTATATTTAATGAAAATAGAAATTACTAAGTATTCATTGTTATTTGTTGTTTCCATTGTGGAATTTAATTACATGTATGCCTTTCTTTTACCTTTCAGTATAAAAAACATCTGTATATTTACAGATTCTAATCGCCATTGTGATAGGCTGGATATTTTCCGCCATTTTGACCGCTTGTGGCGTGTTCGATAAGGATGACATTTATACTCGAACAGATTCCAGACTCAATATAGTATACGATGCTGCTTGGTTTCAATTACCATATCCAGGTAAATTGTGAAAAAAGAATATTTTTGCTCCAACGATATAATGTGCAATTAAAGAAACAAAACAAAAACGTGTGATATAGTACCCCGGTATTTGTTTCTGTAAGAAACACTTAATAATAAGAAAATCAGTGAATGAGTGAAATCCATGATTTAGTACTAACTTCTTTAAAAGTTGCCCTGTATACGGTGTTTAGCTCTACTGGTCAGAGACCAAAAGAGCTTATGCGATAGTAAGGTGTCCGTCATCCGTCCGTATGTCTAGCTGTCTGTCTGTAAACAATTTTTCAAAACGCTACACCTCCTACAGTTTTGGTCTGATTTCCATATAAGTTGGCACACAAGTAGACTACACTAAGATACATAAAATAGTGCATCGGTTTTTGATTTCGATGAACGGTGTTGCCATGGTTAATAAAAATAGAATTTTCTGTGAAATTCCTTTAAAACGCTACTCCTTCTACAGTTTTGGTCTGATTTCAATATAACTTGGCACACAAGTAAACTACACTAAGATACATAAAATAATGCATCGGATTTTGATTTCGATGAACGGTTTTGCCATGGTTACTAAAAATAGAATTTTCTGTGAAATTCCTTTAAAACGCTACTCCTTTTACAGTTTTGGTCTGATTTCAATATTACTCGGCATACAAGTAGACTAAACTAAGATACATAAAATAGAGCATCGGATTTTGATTTCGATGAACGTTTTTGCCATGGTTACTAAAAATAGAATTTTCTGTGAAATTCATTTAAAACGCTACTCCTTTTACAGTTTTGGTCTGATTTCAATATTACTTGGCATACAAGTAGACTAAACTAAGATACATAAAATAGAACATCGGATTTTGATTTCAATGAATAGTTTTGCTATGGTTACTAAAAATAGAATTTTCTATGAAATTCATTTAAAATGCTACTCCTTGTACAGTTTTGGTCTGATTTTAAAATAACTTTGCACACAAGTAGACTACACTAAGATACATAAAACTATGCATCGGTTTCCGATTTTGATGAACAGTGTTGCCATGGTTACTAAAAATAGAATTTTCTGTGAAATTCCTTTAAAACGCTACTCCTTCTACAGTTTTGGTCTGATGGCAATGGCTTCTTTTCTCATCCTTTGTTATATGTACAAACCAGTAGAGCTACAGTCTCGACAGAGACTTCTGGTTTTTATTAAACATATAATTGTAATGCTTATTTTTATTTTGGATTTGTTTTAATGCTGCTTTTTTCTGAAGAAAATGATGTTATCGTGATTAGAAACTGAATACCTTTAGGTCAGTTCGGAGGAATTTCTTGGAGCACCAGTGTCTTTACTGGCTTTCTTCTCGGGACTATTACTTCCATCCTAGATTCTATCGGAGATTATTACGCTATTGCTAAAACGTGCAATGTTCCTCCGCCCCCTTCTCATAGTGTTAACCGTGGTATAGCGATAGAGGGACTGTGTAGCCTTGTTGCAGGGTTGCTGGGTTGCGGTCATGCAACAACAACTAATGGTGGAAACATTGGGGCAGTCGGGGCAACGAGGGTAGGAAATGTTTTTGCTATTTTTACTTTAAAATGATGGGGAAGGGTAGCAAGAGCAAAAAAAGCAAAGATTTAATTAATATTTCATTATTTCTAAACCTGAAAGAATATCACAAGAATGTTTCGTAAACCTTTAGTATGCTTCCATTAAACTCAAGCTTATGAGGACTTTTGTTTTAGGTAGCCAGTCGTGACGTTTTTATAGTGGTTGGGATCATTTACGTGTTGTTTGGAATCATTGGAAAAATCTCGGCAGTTTTCCTCATAATACCCTATCCTGTTTTGGGCGGAGCTTTGGTGCTTATGTACGGAATGTTCAACGGAGTGGTCCTGTCCAATCTGCAAGTCATCAACCTGAATTCTAGCCGAAATCTCGCTATCATTGGCATCGCGATCTTGTTTGGAATGATGGTGCCGTATTGGTTGGAAACTACCCCGGACGCAATACAGACAGGTATTTTACGGATTTAAAAACCTTTCGAAAATTGGAAATTATTATGAAATGAAATTGAATTATAGATATTCAAAAATCAATATTAAAATGATTTTAAACAGGTTCGGAATCACGTGATGGCGTGATAAAAATGTTACTGGCTAATCCCAATCTATGTGGAGGTGTCTTAGCATGTTTCCTTGACAACACGGTAAAGGGTAGGTATTTTATTTTTTCATGCTTTAAATCTACATTGTATTCAGAACAGATATTAAGTAGTTTTATATTTAAGTTTATAAATGTTCTGTGTTTAGGCTCTCTAGAGGAGCGAGGGATAGCAGCCTGGAAAAAGATGATTGACGATAAGGGAGGTAACTCACTACAAGGCGACTCTAGTGTTTATAATATTTATATTCCTGAAAAATTAAAACGCAATCGGTTCATCCAACGACTTCCCTTTATTCCTCCATTACGGGATTAAGAACCTTTTGTAGTGTGAACGAATAAGCATTTTACATTTTATTTATTCTTAATTTTATAATGCTTTTTAATATTTTTATACAAAGGCACCTATACATTGTACTGTAATAAAGAAGAATGAATGAATGTGCAGTTACATTATTTTTTCTGAGAAATCTTATGCTTATCTTATTTAAGTTTATACACGAGAGAGAGAGAGAGAGAGAGAGAGAGAGAGAGAGAGAGAGAGAGAGAGAGATCTTTGGAGATTTTAAACCAAATTAAGTCTTGAAAAAGTTTCAAAAGCCAATGGTTAAGATTTTACCTAGATTTCTATCAAAGTAAAGCTATATGTCTCTTGATAAAGTCTTAATTTGATTTTTTATTTTAAAGACAAGTTAGTAGAACTAGATCTAGAGGTGCTGTGAGCAATGTTTTGTTCTGAGAGAACAGAAATAAGTGTTGGATCAAAAAGTAAAAATAAAAGAGGTGCACAATGGCATTCTATAATAAAGAATCAATGAAAGCCTTATTAAAATTTTATCCAGTGGTTTAGGAGGAGTTGAATATAAGAGATGGCTACCCCAAAGCGTAACAGACGGATGGACGTAGAGACAGACGGACGGATGACGTACCGACGGACGAACATCCCGATCACTAGGGTGAGAGAGAGAGAGGGTGTGTATGTGAAATTTTTAGTAGTCGATAAGGCCCCGACTGAAAATATATGGCTGTGCCTCCCCCCCCCCCCCCACCACCACCACAAACTAAAATTGATGTCTACGCACGAACATGCACCTTCCGATTAAATTTCGGCTAACGTAATGAAACGCTCTTACTGAAACGCAAGTCGTCCTGGCAGTGCTGAATTTACGCCAGCCACAGGGGCCTTTGATGTTTTCAACCTTTTTTCATAAATAGAAAAATCCCCCATACTATGAATAATGGGGGGATTTTCTATTGATGAAAAGAAAGGTTGAAAACGACAATCGCCTCTGACGCCAGCGTAGATTTACTGGTCGTACGACCTTTTTTTCAGTTGCTTCGAAGCCAAAGTGCTCCAACCCAGTTTATAGCGTATAAATTGGATGGCTATTAAATTCTTTCCTTATATTTATTTTTTTTTAATTTTTCATATAAATATTTATCTATTTATAATTTAATTTTCAATCACTTATCATAAGAAAATAAGACGATTACTCTTATGACTTCTAATCGATACGTTTTTGACGCAAGTCATTAAAACTTACGCAACATTATACATTTATTGACTGAGTTCTCGGGCAACATGCGTTTTGTCGGACCCAAGAACCAAACTGTCTGCCTGAGGCCATTAGGCCGAAGGCAGACAGTTTGGTTCGAGGGTCGACAAAACGCATTTTGCCCGAGAACTCAGTCAATAAATGTTTTGTTATACCTTTCAGTTTATTATTTTTTTTTTAAAACATGTATTTTGTACTGTCTTTAATTTCGTAATGTAACAACAAGACCGTCACTTTTAAAAACCAACGAATGAAAATGAGATTAAGCTCCGCCCATTCTGTGACGTAAGTGGTCCAACATCTCACTCAGCGGTCCAACATCTCATTCAGCGGTCCAACATCGATTTTTTTTTATGCCCGCTCAGCAAAACATTAGAAATGTTAGACTTTTTTCGTATAGATTTGTATAGGAACAAATTTTTAAAGGTATAACAAAGTTTTTTTTCAAATGGAATTAATTTTTACCCCATCGAACAACTGGTTAAATTATGACGATACGAAACTTATCTATTCATAAAGAGAAATGTTTAGGCATGGGATGTTTGTGTACGAGATATTTTACATGCAGTGTGCTCAGAATTCCACAAACGTGAGGCTGGATCGTGTTGCTGAATCTAATTTTTGTTAAGTCTGCTAGTAGGACGATTTTTAAAGGCAAGGCCGCTTTTCAAAAATTGTTTGTTTGCCCTCTCCCGACTGACTGGCTAAAAATGTCCAGACTCAAAAACTTTTTTTCAAACTTCTTCAATCCCATCAACGATGTTAAAATTTTCTGGATGAAAAAAAATTACCTACTTACCTATCGACCCTACTTTTTTAAACCTGAGTCGGGAGAGAGCAAGCAAAAATTATTTTAAATATGGCCAAACGATAATATAAAATGGTTTTGTTTACAAGGAATACGTGACCATTCTTAAATAAATGGCGTACAGTGTTACTGACGTGCCGCCAAGTTCATTGTCATCCTCACCAGAAATTAAATTTATAACAATTATAGATACTAGTACGTGCTTTTCCTATCCCATTTCATAGAAATAATTAACCCCACCTCAAACTTGTTATATATGTAGGAGACTTACATATTTTACAGCAAATGTTATCTTAAAACCTCAGTATTCATCGCCTTCTCCCACAACGATTTCATTTCCCTATGAATGGTTCTTATATGATACATATTTCACTGATACTGTAGTTAAAAAAAACCAAACAAAAAAAAACGTCTTTTATTAATTACCTTCTCCATTCTGAGCTTTATGAAAATTGTCGCTGTGGTAGCCTTCAGTTCTGGCTGTGCACTAACTGTACATAACGTGATAGAGACCAGACTAGGCATAATGAAACATCTCATAAGGTTTAAGATACATATGTTTTATTTGTTTTTTAAATTGTTTCCATTTGAGTTAAATCTTTTTACATGAATCTGTATTGTATAATTTCTTAATTTTAATATTCAACTTGCAGCAATATTATGCAAATTTCTTCATTTTTACAAATTTTTTAATGTATAATGCGTCTTTTGCCCATCACGTTAGTTTACACTAGGCCGACAGTCTTCGTAATTTAAGAGTTATTGCTCTTAGCACGTTATCTAGTGTAGAATTTGGAATATACGTGAGAGACCAGAACAGTATGAGGCGCCGTTTTAATATTTTTTTAAGGTATTTTCTGATATCAAAAAAGAAATTATTGATATCAATAATTCGAATTCTTGATATCAAAAAATATTTTTTGATATAAAAAAATAATTCTTGATATCAGAAAATAGATTTTTTGATATCAGAAAATCATTTTTTGATATCAAAAATTCGAATTCTTGATATCAAAAAATGATTTTCTGATATCAAAAATTCGAATTTTTGATATCAAAAAATCTTGTTTATTTTCTGATATCAAAAAAATCGATTTTTTGATATCAAAAATTCGAATTCTTGATATCAAAAAATATTTTCTGATATAAAAAAAGAATCAGGAATTTTGATATCAGAAAATAAGAACCAAGTAAAATTACAATTGACTTAATGAATGCTCCCCGTGATGAACATGTAGCTTCCCGTCACACAAATTAGTTGCAAACTTTGTTGAATTCAAATAAGTTTAAAACATGTCTGGATGTTAGGATGCCGTCTGTTTTTTTTGGGGGGGGAGGGGGGTTGTTTGGGTATTTTTCAGTATTGACTATATTTTTAATCAATTCAAAAAGTTTATGGATAGCTCAGACTTCACCTTGAAGAATGGACTTCTGCGACCACTCAACGCGTACCTGCTGGTCAGCTGTGATGTAACATCACTTTACACAAAATCAACTGGGGAAGCTAATGGCTGCTGTTAATAGGGGTCACAGAGAAATTCTCAGTCTAAGCTCGACCTTTAGCACACCTACATTATTAGTCCCCTACCGGTGAAACCGGAGGGGACTTATATTTTTTGATCTCAAGCGTCCGTCCGTCCGTCCGTCTGTCTGTTGTCTGTCCGTCCGTCTGTTTGTATCCGTCTGTTTAATTCAGAAAATCCGCATTTTTTTCTAAACGCTGGTGATATTGTGCTGAATTTTGGTAAGTGGGTGTATCTTTATGAGTTACAGATCAAGTTTGAATATCGTTGCGATTCAATGATTTTTTACGGAATTAGGGCCTTTTCAATTTTTCAGGGTTTTCCGCACTTTTTTTCTAAACGCTTGTAGATAGTGAGCCGAATTTTGGTATGCCAGTTTATCTTGATTAGTTACAGATCAAGTTTGAATTTTGCATAGCTTAATTGATTTTTGACAGAATTATGGCATTTTGAATTTTTCACATTTGTTTAATTAAGATCGGGTTCGTGTTGCGCTAACTTCCGATGGTCGACATAAATATGAAGCGAGAAAAAGACGTTGGAAAAATGAATTGAATTTTTGTCTTAAAGTGGATTATTTTAATAGGTTTAATGCATTCACAAAATAAAAATCATGCAGCTTTACCTTGGACATAACTTTTGCATGTTATAAAATGACATCCTGAGAAAAAGGGGGAACCCGGTAGGGGACATGTATTGCTTATGCAATACTCTCAGAATGCTTGTTTACTCAGATTTATCCAAAATTGAATGAATTGAAAAATACAATTGTAATATATTTGAATTTCATGCAAATAAATATGACCAAAAAACACTTATTAAATTCTTTCATTCAAACAATATTCTTAAAATCTGAAGCTCGAGATTTTATTTTATTTTCTGATATCAAAAAATAAATTTTGTGATATCAAGAAATCAATTTGAATTTCTGATATCAAGAAATCATTTTCTGATATCAGAAAATCGATTTTTTGATATCAGAAAATGATTTCTTGATATCAGAAAATGAATTATATTTTTTGATATCAAGAATTTCGAATTTTTGATATCAGAATTTACATTTTTTGATATCATAAAATTCCGAAGATTTTTTGATATCAGAAAATGATTTCTTGATATCAGAAATTAGAATTTTTGATATCAAAAAATGATTTTCTGATATCAGAAAATCGAATTTTTGATATCAAAAAATCTTGCTTATTTTCTGATATCAAAAAATATATTTTCTGATATCAGAAAATGATTTTTTGATATCAAAAAATCAAATTTCTGATATCACAAAATGATTTTTTGATATCAGAAAATACCTTAAAAATATTAAAACGGTGCCCCATAGAACAGATGATATCAAATTTAAAGATTTGGCCAAATACATTCCAAACCCAAATGGCATTGGAAACAAGAAGCAACAGTCTGGTAACAAAACATCTTCGCTAGCCAAGGGTGATGATGTACTCCTCCCCTCTAGACGAGCGGATTGTCACCCTTGGCTAGCGAAGATGGTAACAAAACTGTGTCGGATTACGGCATCAATTTACGATTTTATTCATAAAATAGAAATGTGTAACAAGTGGAAAGCTGCATGTCAGTGTGACAGGAAACTGGGTTTTTGAACGGATACTTATCTTACTTATGTACCCTGTAACCTACCCCCCTCCCCCCAAAAAAATGTCTTTTAGCCATTCCTCAGGTGAATTTCAAAGCCAGTTGGAAGAGGTACCCTTGCTCATCATAACCATGCACTTAGTTTGATTGCTCTGTGTATAATCTAGGAGCCCAACGTTATCACCTGGACCCCAAGCAAATGGACCACAAGTTCTAAATTCTGGAAGAGGCCCCCTTGCTCATCATAACCATGCACTTAGTTTGTTTGGCAGAAAATGAAGTTTTTAAAAAAAATGATGACCATGACACACAAACATTTTTGAAGAGAAATCTTTGCTCATGAAAAACTTCATACTCAGATGACTCATAAGCCTGACTGGGCTCTTTTTTGTTGTGGTTGTAATTTTTACCTCTGTGCAAGCCCAAATTTTGCTTCAATAATCTTTATTATAAAACTTCTCAAAGGATTAATTTCCTGTTACAGTTCTGCTTTAAAGAATGTCTTGAGTCATCCAGGGAACTTTGTACAGTTACAGGGCTTGAACTTGGGATCCCTGCTCTCACCACTGAGCTATTGAGGCCAATATGCACAGTCCATATTAACCAATGCACTACATTAAATTGTCTTAGTTTTCAAAGACATTCACCATTTAAATTAATTCTTAACATTCCTAAGAGGGAAGGGGGGTCAAGGGAATCTGTAATAGGAAAGGAGAAAAGTTACTGCTGTATCAGAAATAGAATTCAAACAAGTCACGTTTACCTGCTGAGCCCCTTTCCAGTGTCCATATAGCCCAAACTGCCTTCCTTCTACAAGGCACTCTATTACAACGCTTTCATGAATTCATTTGTTATTGCAGCAGGTATAATGTCAACTTAAATTAACATCTAGTACAATTAGCAAGTTCTCATTACACTTAATTTACAAATATATGAAAATCAAAATAGTAAGTATGTCAAAATATTTATTATTTGATATAACTACAAGGCAGCTTTGCCTGAGGTACATGTGACGCTAAGTCTGTTTATCTCGATCTACACTGTACTACACAACAGGTACTTGTAGAGCCCTGGACCACAGAAACCACCGCAAAGCTGACGTCATGTTTCTGTGGTACAAGGCTACCATACAGAAAATACAAAAAAAAGTGAGCTATTCAGAAATGCTGTAGTTTCCCTAAGTTCAAAATCATGATACATGTGTATATAATAAAAAATGAAGGAAAAAAATTACTTTTCACCTAAGACTGCAGACAGAATGATAACAAGTTAACAGGAAAATAATAAAGTATTAACAAGTGATATATATATAAATGGTAATAATATATGTATACATAAAATATTTATAAATTGCTCATCTATTATTTTAAAACCATTGAAATCATATGATTTACTCCATTACACTGGAGACCCGTTTATTTAAACATATCAAAAAAAAAAAACAAACAAAAAATTCATGTAAAAAAACATAATTCAAAAAATTGTGTACTAAGAGTTACTTATACAAATTGTCTGATTTGACTTGACTTTTGCTCAGTTTATGCATTGCTGGGTGTTGAACTTGGAGGTAACTTCCCTCTATAAAATTTGTATTCAATCTAATCTTGTCACAAATGTTCATACATACAATTTCAATGGTTATAAAAATAGATAGCTTTGTGGTACAGCCAATCCTCTGAGCAAAACATGTAGTCCTTCAAAACATTCAAAAAATAAGAAAATACTAAAAAAAAAAAAAAATCAACAGAGAAAAGAATCGACAAATCCTGCTCCCTTCCAGATCACATGGCCCCCCTATTATCAACGTGCACTTTGTGCCATAATTAACAAGCCTCCTTAAAGAAGTTATTCGTTATATTTCCATCTCTTTTTGAACATTTCTCACTCCTATATTTTAGTTTCATTTCACTCAATTACAATTTCTATGATTTTTCCATCACAAAAACAAAAAAAATTCTAACATCATGTAGTAATTCTAAAACAGTACACTGTAGTCATTATAAATAAACTTAAACCACATATTTCACAACTTTTGTCTTCTCTGTAAATTATAGTTTACATGTTACTATAAAATAAAATGTTTTAAATTAAAACTACCCCCCATTTATAAAAAACTCTTCTTTTGAGACAGTATTTTACAAATATTTTCAAAACAAGTTACTTATAAGAGAGCATCCTCCACATTATTTTCTGTAAACCTGGTTATATTGAAAATTTTGGAAACTTTGATAATTTAGTATTAATTTAAGTCTTGATTTCCAAGTAAAATCCAATCTTCACTTTGCAAAAGTTGTGTCCTTTTAAGGGACAATAAAATTACAAAAGGGAAACAAACCAGGTTTCTCCTCTTTAAACAACTGAATACTGTGTGTATTTGTATAAATTGACTGTATATGAATAATATTTTGAAATTTTTTTTAATCAGATGACAAAATTACAACCCAAAAAACAATTGCGAGGCTTCTTTGGAAGTTTCCCCATAGATGACAACTGTGACAAGGGACATAACTCTTATCAAGTGTGGATCCAACTATGCGAGATATTGATTGACAATTTAGTCAATTGTAAGCCTTTCCTGTTTCCTCCTTGTCAATATCCCCATACTTACAGTATATAAGGGGGAAAAAAATTACATCAAAAAGACAAGTTTCCCAAGTGTCCGGCCTTGATGGAAATTTTACTAAGATTTGTAGAGGGACACCTAGTCTAACATGTTGTCTATGACAACTATCACCATGGAAATTCCTGATCACAAATGCACCACAGTTGACCTATTTAATAAAAATACAAAACCAACTAAAAAAAGACCTTTGCATTTCTTTGCCAGAGCAGATGAATCAAAATATGACAACAGTACTTGCTAACACCTCAAATAAACAGTATCAAAATGTTACCTTCTGGTAATTCAATTGTAGATTATTTTTGTGTTTTCAACATCAGTATTAAATAATCATTTGTAGCAATATCAGACAGGTGTCCTTAAGATTTCAAAGAAAAAAAAAATTGAGGAAAAAAAAAGACAGCTACACTGTATATATATCTATATCATAAAATGAAAAAATAATCTAATGTACATGAATCTGTGCACAAATGTACTCTAAAAAAATATCAATGCAGAAAAATTGGCAAAAAATGGAAGAGAAGTAATTCAAAAGAATGTCTTCCTTCACTCAAGAGATTTTTCTCTTTACTGCTTGATAATTTTACCCCCAAGTTTTAGAATTAGATATTTGTTTTGATCCCTCAATGAACCAAAAGATACAAGAGGTAGACAATATGGTCTGGACTGACACTTAAGATACATTTAACCCAAAGAAGTCAACTGCAGAATTCTTAGATTCATCACATAGTTGGAGATTTCATGTTGTATACTGATATTCTGATCTTCTAATTCTGAAGAAAAAAACCCCCCTATTTTAGATTAGTATTAGGCAATAAGATGTGTGGGGGTGAGGGATGAAAATTAACAAAAATCAATCAGAAAAATGTAGATGTACAAATGCATGTTCAAATATGTATACATATATACAAGTTTCCTGAAATTTTTACATGATACAAATATATATATTTATATATAGTTATGTACTAGTACATGAAAACTCAGCACTTTCATTTAACAAATACATGTACAACTAACAATACAAAATATTGAATGACCAAGATGAATAATACCCGTACTTATCATTGATAATATTAATGTATGTCCGAGCTTCTTATGCCCCCAGGAATCACAAACAGGAAATATACTTCATTTACGTTCAATGATAGGTCACTTTCAAACTGCATCCCAGTTTTGCAACCTTTTTCAGAGTAAATTTTTTCATAATAATTAAGGGAATTTATTTCAAAGAACAAATTATTTTCACATGCAGACATTTTTTTACAAATGTCTGCTTTGAAATTGTTCACACAAATATCTTTGTCATCTCTTAATAGGTAGCGAAAAAAATATATTCGAAAAAATTATGAGATGGCAGCAATTCCTTTGTAATTAGAAAAAAAAAGACTTTACATTACCCATATTGTGAGAGCCTGAATTCTTTTTCTCTCTTACAACAAACAACAAAAAAAAAAAACAGTTCCACACAAGAAAATACTTAAACATACACACAAAATAGTTTCTATTTGAGGAAGAATATCATTTTCACCCGTAGTACATCATTTTTATCTCAAAATTTATGCTTTAAAAATTCAGAATATCTTTAATGCTGCATTAGTTAATTTTTTAAAAACTGTTGTAAATTACATGAAAAAAAAAACTAGTCAGTCACACATCAGATCAAACATCAGGAGTGAACAATGATGATCAACAAGAATGTATCTAGGGTGGAAATGGACAACGAATTCAGCATAAACAAACAAAATACAACAGCTCTTGTGTACTGAAATGTAAATTTGGAATAAACAAAATTTCAGCTTAAAATTATTGCTTTGCTAGTGTAAACTACCTGGTATATCAAACATTCTGTAATCTTATGAGGGGAACTAATTTCTGAATTGTAACTGAACATCAGAGAATGACAATACTGTTACATTGTGAGCAAAACGTGACAAAAAATCCACCCCTTTTATATAAATCATACAACAATCGATAATATATATCATTCACATTGCACAAAAATAGTCATTGTATGTTTAGCTGACTTTGAAGACTTGCAGTAGAATAAAATATATATCTTTGAAAATATTTTCTGCTTTGTTGAATTCAGAGGCATGTCATTTGGCTAGGGGATGAGGTATTTCATTATTATTAAGTATGACAGTTATAAAACTGACCCAAAAAAGGCAAATATATATATATTAACAAAAACCATAAATAAACAATTAGTTTTGCTGCTTACTTAATCAACAAACATCACAAATTCACACAACAGATGAGGTATATCAAATAATGAAGAGATAAACTGGAGTTATTCCCCTTGACAGATCATTCTCAACAACACTTCAGAAAAAAAATTGAATGAGGTACTACATATATCATTGACAAAAAATGTAAATATCTGGGGCATTTACATATTACCCTTCTTAACTATGACACATTCATACAAATATGATAAATGTAACAAAAATACACAAATGCACTGAAAAATACAGAACGTTGAGGTATATACTATAGTTCGTTTTAACCGATCTGAGCTTTATCTCAGATGATCTGCAATATGCATGCAGAAGTAAGTCTTGTCTTGGCAGTTTTCATCACACACAGGGCAGGCGAAGGGCTTCTGGTCTCCACCTCGAGCATGCAGCTTGCTGTGAATACGATACATTGCGTACTCCGAAAAGTAGCACTCACAGTGGTCACATTTGTAGAGCCTACCAGTGGCAAGTAGTGTTGATATACTCTCTGTGGAGTTGTCTAACCCTGAGCTGGAAACCTGCTGGTAGGTGGAGCCGCTGTGATCTGAATGAACGCTGGCTTCACTTGGACTCCTTACCTCTTCTGGGAGTGGCTCTAGACTGCTTTTGCAGCATTTATTAACCTGAATACCAATGTCCACTGAGTTAGCTTTGATTCCTGGTGCCAGGGTAACAGATGGCCTTAGAACACTTGACCCTGTTACCGCCCAGGGTTTTTCATCTGAGGTAGGAGGAGAGAGGATGTTTTCCTGACTTTCACTGCTTCTAATTTTCTCTGCTTTTTGAATGCTGAGGTTGAGGGCATCAGCTTGAGGTGTGTGGTGACTAGTCTCCAAAAATCCGGCCGAGGATCGGAGAGGGATCTCTGAGGTAGAGGTCGGTAATGAGGTATTAAAAATAGACGGAAATGACGAGGCCGCTGCAGCAACAGCCGCCTGGTGATTCTGGTAACTCATAAATAATGCATTTGACATTGCAACTGAGGTAGGTGCGTTGAAGAAACTGTTGTATGCTGAGTCAGCATAAGGAGCGACTTCCTCCTTGCGCTCATCTGGTGAAGCATGCAGAGGCATGCTGTTGCTGTTGTTTTTAAGAGGAGTGCCGTTGCTGCCGTTTGTAGGTGGTAGCATGTTTTCCTGAGAAGATGCGCTGTTTTTCACAAAGAGGTCCCAGACGCTTTCAGCCGATATACCATGACGACGGGCGTGTCTGCGCAGGGTTGATCCTCGGGTAAATTTAGCTCCACAAATTGAGCACTGGTAAGGCTTGATGCCTGCGTGTAGCTTAATGTGAGATTTCATGTTGTTTTTGTAGCCAAATCTTTTACCACAGATAGGACAGCTATAGGGCTTTTGACCTTCATGGACCTTCATATGAAATGCCATGTGACTTGCAGGAAACTCATGCCCACATATACTGCACATCTCCTTAGGTTCGTCCGAGTCTGCCAGTCCTGAGGAGTTGGGTGTCTGTTCCAGGTTTTCAACCTCTCTCTCTGGCGAGGCCTCGATGGAGTCTGACAGGGCTTCAGAGTCCATTGTCTCCTGTTCTTCATCTCCATCTTCCAGTGAATCGTCGTCATAGTCACCACTTCCTGGGGCCCCAGGCATGTACTGCAGAGACTCCTGCTCCTCCTTGGTTAGACTGTGACTCTGTAAATGGCTGATCAGATCATTCTGAGCTTCCACTGTCTCTCCGCAGTGCTTGCAGGTCCAAGGACTCTCTGCATGCTGGCTCTTGATGTGTAGTTGGAGGCTGCTTTTGCTATTGAAAGAGATTGTACATAAAGCGCAAGTAAAAGCAACCTCTCCTAAGTGAGCTCTTTCATGGGTAATTCTCAGTCCTGCCTTCGAGAACCTGTCCCCACAAAATCGACAGGCATACGGCTTAAATTTGGTGTGGATCTGTTTGTGTACATGAAGCTGCCAGGATGAAGGGAAGTTCTTACCACAGATTTCACATTTGGTTTCCCCTCCTTCCACACCCTCTTTTGAGTCTATCCTGTTCTCGCCATTTGTTGCTGAATAGAGAGAAGCATCCTGTGACACTGGCATTGAGGTAGGTTCATTAATATCCATTAAGTCTGAATCATCTTGACCAGGCTGTGTACTTCGCTCTCCTCTTTTCATCCTCTCGTTCGCTGCCAGATCTTTTTCTGTATCTACATCCCGACCATTTTCCACCTTTCCATGTTCTCTCTGCAGTTCTTCCTGAATGAGTTCCCTTTGATATTGGTCCTCGTGTGTGACTGAGCTGGCATCATCATGTGAGGCTCCTGAGGGGGATTTGGACAGGTCCAGTCCTGCCGAGGTGCTGTAAGGGGACACTGAATGACCCCGAGTTTCGCTTCGCTTGAGGTGAGGTGACCTCCGGGGCTCGGTCATGTAATGAGAGGAGGAGAGATCAGATGACGCGTCGTACAGTTTGCTGCCCTGAGATGTACGATGTTCCTGAGCTTCTTTTTTGACAATGACTCCTGGGTACCCCGCGGATTCCATCTCTTTGAGGTACTTCCGATCCATTAAAAAGGGAGGGGTCATGAGAGGAGGTAATGATTTGTTAAGTGAGTTGGAGATTTTCCCTGACTGAACAACTTTAGATTCCCCTGATTTCCGAGATTCCGATAAAGATGATGACAGAGGCCATGAAGCGCTATGATCGGATGCCGTGCTGGCTCCAAGTTTCTTCGTGTCCTCTTGAGGTACCATGCTGCAGACTGCCGCTCGAAGAAGAGGACAGCGCTTCTCATGATAACGTCTTGTTGTGGATCTGGTGAACACCTTCCCACAGTAGCTGCAAGTGCGGGACTTTCGAGGATAACCGTTTGAGGTAAATTGGTATAGATCACTAGGGTACCCGTAATTTGGCATAGCAACACCACTCAGTCCGTATGGAAATGAATCGTTTGTCCCACTCCGCCCTCCACCCAGGGGGCTGTCCCCCCTAAATGTATCCCCCTGACTGAAGTTCAATGCCCCCATACTGGAGGCAGCAGCTGCCAGTAATCCCTGAGCACTCGTTTGAGCTTTATTACTCAAATCCATTGTAGAATAAATATCCTTATAAAAGTCTATAACAGTTCCCTGATTTAAAGTTTTTTTCTTCTGTTCGCCTTGAACCACCATAGATCCAGAAGATCAAGATTCCTTTATTACCTGCAAAATATTACGGACCACATCAGTCATCAGTTCAACTGCAACCATTTATAATACGTTTAATTTATTTAACCCAAACCATTAAAAACAACTTATGTGAACAAACTTCGCAATAATCAGAAAAATGAATCTTTAATTAGGACCTTTCTTTTAAAAACCACACAAGTAAAACACAAGTAAAATGTTTTCCTGGTATATGTGGCAATTATTTATAACCTGACAAACAAAGGTAAATAGTTTTTTATGCAATGCCTTACGAACACAGTGCAATAAAGCTACATATATAATTAAATTCAATGCATGTTTTCCTTGAATGAAAAGTGCCTAGGGCTCCACAAATTTCCTTCTTTACATGTTGACTACTTTTTATCATACAACTTCATGACATTGTGTTATTTTTTAGGTTTGACTTTTTAAAGTCATGATCCTAATGTTTTCTTCTTAAGGCTTCAATTAGCAAGAAAAACTAAAATTTCAATAACAATTTTTATTAAAATCTAAGGACAGAAGATACAAACAAGAAATGGATGCCTATATTGGTATAATTTTTTCTCTTTTATGCTTGTACTAGATGCAAAACAATTAACTTCTTAATTATCAAGAAGTTGTAAACTTTCTATGGTGTCCAAAATTCCACCTTTCTGCATCAATCATCATTACTATATACAAGCTTTTGTCTTTTAAAATCTCATTTGAATAGAAAAATGAAAATCAATGCAACTTATTTTATTTTACTTTACGATAAACAGTTTTTTTTTTAAATGTTATAAAAGTTTGTATCATCTGTCCTTATTAATTAATAAATCAAATATATTTAGAATAAAGGGCCAAAAAAAAGTTTTAAAAGAACATACCATATATTGTATCATTAATTCTTCATTTTGAATTCAATTGCATTAATTAATGTCCATATAATCTAAATAAGATGTTTTTGTTAAATCCACTCATTCAGTGTGTCGAGATAATGAGCACATGCATCCCAGAAAATCCCTCATTCACTATGGTGCTTTTTAATTTCTTTTTTAACATTCTGCATGTTGTTTGATAATAATCTCTACATTCCTGTGTTTATCTAGGCCTGTAATTGGGTGTAATAACAGTGTAACAATTATGTAACAACTAGATCAATCTAGCTGATTTGAGTTGCTCAATTTGTTTGTTGCTTATAGCGGGTGTCATAATTGCCCCGAAACAGATGTGACAGTTAGGTTCACTTTTGAGTAAAAATCACACATGCGCTAATTTAAAAAAAAGAAATAAAACAGGACACATATGTCACTTAAAATTAAAAAAAAAATTCAATGGTAGAGATTGGCTGTATTAGGTGAGAGAGATATCAGCCTATAAATTCTATGCACATTAATGAGATTATCAGGATATCCTTGAATAGTTTTAGAGAAATTCATTAGAAATAATTAATGCAGATCTAGATCAATTCACAGATATTTAAAGTTTTGATACTGGAACATATAGTAATAAGATATGGTAAACGTATAGTTTTATCCCATTTGGAAATTCTAATTTCATATGTTAAAAAAGAAAAAAAAATCATGGATTAAAAATCAATCCTTTTTGCATTCATAAGATAATTGACATGACTTAGGTGTAAGTTTGCACTAGAGATATTAACATACACTCTCTGGTCAATTTGTGAAAGCTCCACTGGGCATGACCAATTTGACCTTGGTCTATATATGGAAAAATCGACATAAGTGTTCTGATTGTTTGTAAGATAGGAGATACATGAAAGGCTGTAGATTTCTCATTCTCTGGAATCTTAAATGACCATCACTGCAGGGCATTAAATTGCTAAAGAATGCTAACATCCAAATCCTCTGTGCATACACTAACAGGTCCAGTCCAAAGACTATTTCTACCTACGTAGCTATTAATAGCTACCTAGGTATTTAAAGCTACCAAAAGTAGCTATTTTTACCTACTTTATATAATTTCTGCATTTTGCGACCAAAAAACAAAACGGCGCACCATGGTAAATACCATATTTTTTGAACACTAATTACGACAAAAATTTTGCCAAAAAATGATTACTTCCTGAATCGGCAATTTTACATTAGTTTCTATGCAAAATTGATAATATACGAAGTTTTCATTTTTTGGCCAAATTTTTGTCATATTCATCATCAGTGTGACTGTATCAAGAAATTGTGTGCTCACCATGTTGCGCCGTTCCTGCATTTGGCTACAAAATGCAAGTAAAGCAGAAAGTAGGTAAAAATAGCTACTTTGGGTAGCTTTAAATACCTACGTAGCTATTAATACCTACGTAGGTAGAAATAGTCTTTGGACTGGACCTGACTAAAGAAAGTAGGGGATTTCATGTTGGAAAAAAAAAATTAGTGTGACCATTGCATCAGTGTTTAAGCTTCAAATTTAAATAAGCAATATGTATACACCCTGTTACTTGTACATTTACAAAATAAATATCTTTTACTCCATGATTTGTGTAAAAAATGGGTAGCGCTAAATACTGGAATAAACTGATCAAGTCTAAATCTGAGTGACAACGAAAATTGATACATTATTGATAAATTACTATGACATTATTTTGATATGACTGCACCTAACGGCATTATGACATTACGTGATCATAATATGATATGTGGATATTTTTATCTGCAAAATAAAACAATATTTCATTATCACCTCCCAAAGACTTGAATGCAGTAGAAGTAAACCCTTGCTAGCAGTCAACAACATGACATATTTGGTTGCACTTCTGCTTGTGATGATGAATTTATGAAACATTCATTATCCTTTATGCATATTTAGTGTATTAAGCATTACATGTTAAAGGCATTGGGAATCGCAAACATCAATATTTTCACAAAAGTGTATATTGTCGTTAAAGTGTACTGATATTTGAACATTTTCTAATTAGCATTCCCAGAACAGAATGAGATGCCAGTGATTTAAACGGCAGATTCTTCTGTTACCAGTTTATTATCATACATAGATGATTGGAAACGCAAGAAAATGCAGGTTTCAAAGAATTATTGACATTTTTTCTTTCATTCTGCATGTTCAATACTCTATTCTTTTCTTCAACTTTTCAGCTCAATATATAAAATTAAACCTATAACCCAATAAAAAAAAATCAAGGTAATTTAAGTCTAAGACCTTCACTTTACGTAACAATTAAAAACAGGGGTAATAGGTTATAAATAGACAAATATCCCTTAGTATTGTGCATTGTCCTAATTGTGTAACTGCCCTTTAATCGGCTTAAATTAATCCATGTGCACCTGTAAAGCAAGGCTTGATACCCACACATTTAAATCAATGAACACTCTGTATGGGGAATATTTGTTTTGCCTTGACCACTGTTCCCAGGCATGTTATGGGAGTGGACATTTAAATGCAGTTCTACAGTTTAAACCCTAAGTAAATATATGTTTACCACACTCGCTCCTGCACCAATATTGATGTCATCGGAAAGCTTTGCAAAAATACCTGGGCTCCAACAGTTATTTTTCTCTCAAGGCTTATCACTCTGTGCAATGATTTTTTTTTTTTGAGATTGATTTGTTAAATGTTGTGCTTTAAATACTTAACTTATGCTTTCTTTCTTTCATTCATAATTCATTGAAAATATGTACATTGCCTTACTACTGTATTTAAATGGAAAGGATTATTAACGTATATAAATGTAAAAAAAAAATTCAAGTTGAAATTTTAAAAAAAATCAAAATTTTATTTCCTTCTATTATGCAAGATTCAATAAAAAATGTGAAATTTGAGATAATATTTAAGATTTTGGCGATATTTTCATAAAGATATTGTCTTATGTAAGATTGATATATTCTTCTTCTAGAAAAATGGCTTATTCTAAGCCAATCAATATTAAAAATATGAAAATGAATAATTAGTAAAACATTAAACACTAGCAGCAAATACTGGGAATTAAATAAAATCTGCAGAGACAGATGTGATATAAAGATTTGATCATGAAAAATTCTATAAATATCTAGTAGATAGATGTAGAAATGAAATCAATCAAACTCACCAAAGACCAATGTAGTGTCAAATATTCATTTATTATAAATCATTATCACTAAAAAAAAATATTCAATTAGCTTATAAAATATAATTAATCAAAATATACTCTTCTGAGGTTAAATTTAAAAGATGAATTGGCCTGGAGCTATAAAAAGGCTAGCTAGTGTGCATGAAATCATATTACAGTCATGTACATTCAGACAAATGTGATGATCTTTAAGAAAAACATGATCATTGAAACAAAGTTTTCTTGGGTTTTTTTTTTTGTTAATTGTGAAATTAAAACACCATGAATTTATACTAAATTTGGAATTGAATATATGATCAAAGGAATGACAGAGAGGAAGACAGAGACATTTTTTACAAAGAGTGTGTGTTTGAAGGGGGGGGGGGGGTGAGAAGAAGTATTTAGTATATATCATGAATATCAGTAAGATGCTTTAGATGCCTCTTAAAATAACCTTTAACAGTATATCTTTCTTGACACTACAGTTTGAGCTTAATGTGACCAAGAAGTTTCTAATGCATTCTAATGAGTGACATGAATTCTAAAACGCAAATAGGTTTTATAATAGCACTGAGAAAAAAAAAGTGAAATGACACTAAATCAAAAGTAGGGGAAATTGTCATGTACTTGTCAAAACACAAAAAGAAAAAAAGGATTCCAAGATATCTATATTTATAAGAACAGATGCACAGCTTGTCAGCCACATTGCATTTCACCATTTTTTTTTTGGTGTGTGTTTCTATTTTGGTGTGTTACTGAGGTTTTCATTCTCACTTGCTTCTTAATACTTTTTTTATAATTCAAATACAGCAAAACTCGTTTAGTACGAACACAGATATTGTGAATTTATGGATATAGCAAAGTCGTCTTGGATCCCCAGCTATATAAATTTAATGAATTTTTTATACGTTTATAACGAATTATGGATATAGCGAAGTATTTTCATAGGTTCCTGTGACTTCGTTATAACCAAGTT